GACCGAGAGTGGTGGGAATCCCTCCCCAATGTCTGCCCAAAGTCTTACTCTTGAGGCCCCTGGAAAAGGAAGAAGGGGAGAGGTGCGGGGGAGCTAAGGAAGTCCTCACGCGGGAGCAGAGTCTCAGAAAGGTGCAAAGGAAGGAAGCTGGTTACTCTAATGTGCACCCATGAACTTTTATTTTTAATACACTCCTAAACAAGAGGTCCCATGCTCCATTTTACTGTCTGGATTTTACCCTAGTTTATTCATGATACAAACTAAGAAGGCTCTAGGAAGCAGAAAGTTTGACAACCTCTGCTCCAACTTTTAAGGAAAAGTTTGCTGATTTCTGCTTTCAGGAAGACAGAGTAGACAGAACTATGTACTTCTGTCTCATCCTCTTGTTAAGTACAACAAAAATCCCCGGATACTCTGTATAAAGCAGACTTAAGATTCTGAAAGGTCAAGAAGGCGGCAGACCTCGGGACCCAAGGATAATATGGTGGTGAGTGCTGGGTTTCTTTTTTGTCTTCTCAACAGAGTAGAGACGCTGACTGTCTCCAAGTTGATATATATATAGGTTAACACAATTCCTATCGAGGAAGAGGAGGAAAAGGCAAGCTAAGGACTGAGATAAAATATTTGCAAACCACCCATCCCATCAAGGGATATATCCCACCACGGATATGTTTCTCTGAGGCATATAAAAGACTCTCCAAACTGAACAGTAAAGAAAACAAATAATCCAATTTTTAAAAATGGGCAAAATACATGAACAGGCATTTCACTGAAGATGATATACAGATGGAAAATAAGCACATGAAAAGATGTTCAACATTAATCATCAGAGACATTATAATTAAAACCACAATGAGACTCCATTAAACATGTATCAGAATGGCTAAAATAAAAAAAGTGGCAATACTGCCAAATGGTGGCAAAAACACAGGGAAGTGGATCGCCAGTCCCCTGCCAGTGGGAGTATGAAATGGTACAGCCACTGTGGAGGACAGCTTGGCAGTTTCTCTAAAAATGAAATGTGTGGCTACCATCCAACCCAGCAATTATACTCCTGGGCATTTAATCCAGATGAGAGAAAACCTTCACACAAGACTTGCATACAGCCTGCACAAACATTCATGGTAGCTTTATTCATAATAGCAAAAAACTGGAAACAGCCCAGATGCCCTTCAGTGGGTAAATGCTTAAACCACCATCCATACACACCACACACCCAACCCTCAGCAAGAAAAAGTAACAGACTGCTGAGATATCCACCGACCCAGACGTCTGGGAGGAAGAAATAAAACTGTCTTTGTCTGCAAAGGACATGACTATGTAGGAAATCAGAAAATCAACAACGAGAACTCCTGCAACTAAAAAGCAATCCTAGCAAGGTTACAAGACACAAGGTTAATATATAACAGTCAATTGCTTTCCTGTATAATTCCAATGAACAAATGGAGTTCGAATTTTAAAATATTATCCCATTTATGTTAGCTCCCCCCAAAATGAGATACATAGGTGTAAACCTAACAAAATATGTACAAGATCTATATGGGGAAAACTGTAAACTCTGATGACAAAAAACAAAGAAGAGCTAAATAATAGCTAAATAATTGGAGGAATATTCCATGTTCATGGATAAGAAGATTCAATATTTACAAGATATCTGTTCTTCCCAATTTGATCTATAAAATCAGTGCAGTCCCAATTAAAATCTCTGGAAGTTATTTTGTGGGCTTCCGAAAACAGATGCTAAAGTTTATATGGAGAGGGAAGAGATCTAGAATATCCAACACGATATTGAAGGAAAAGAACAAAGTTGAAGGACTAACACCACCGGACTTCAAGATTTACCACAAAGCTACAGCGTTCAGGACAGTGTGGTGTCAGCAAAACAAAATAGACTGATGGGATAGAGAGCCCAGAAATAGACCCACATAAATACTGTTAACTGATCTTTGACAAAGACGTAAAGGCAACATAACAGAGAAAAGATGGTCTTTTTAAGAAATGCTGCTGGAACAGCTAGATGTCCACATGCAAAGAAAGGAATCCAGACACAGATCTTACACTCTTCACAAAATTAGCTCAAAGTAGCCCATACACATACATGTGAAATGCAAAACTGTAAAACTCCTATTAGATAACATAGAAAATCTAGATGACTTTGAGTGTGGCAATTACTTTTTAGATAGAATACCAAAGTCATGATCCATAAAATAAATAATTGATGAGCTGGGCTTCAGTAAAATGTAAGACTTCTGCTCTGCAAAAGCCACTCTTGAGAGAATGAGAAGGCAAGCCACCGACTGGGAGAAACTCTATGCAAAACACACATCCGATAAAGGACTGTTATCCAAAATATACAAAGAACTCTAAAAACTCAGAAATAAGAAAATGAACCATCCAATTAAAAGATGGGCAAAAGACCTGGACAGACACCTCACTAAAAAAAAAAAAAAAAAAGATACACAGAAGGTAAGTTAAGCCCATGAAAAGATGCTCTGCATTGTACATCATCAGGGCCTCACAAATGCTGTACACCCATTGGAACGGCCACACTCCAGGACACTGACGGCACCCGATACTGGTGTCCTGCTTCAACTGCAGAATGAGAGGCACACTCACCTCCGGTTTTCTTCCCTTTTCCTCAAGCCGATTCCCCGGGCACGATTTTTCTCTTAGATGAAACCTCCACCTTCAATTCCCTAGACCAGTATTCTAACCTGGCTCCTACGATAATTTGTCTATTGCGGTTTCAAGTTGCATCCCCACTGGCATTCGACTAACCATGGTAGAGTTCCAGGTAGGGACGCAGGGTTCTGGGGGCTGGTCAGCGGAAAGACCAAGCCGTGATTAGAAGGCGGAACCTTCAGCCCCACTCATGTCCTCCAGAGGTGGGGGAGGGGCTGGAGATTGAGTTAATACCTGATCCTGCCTAGGATATGAAGCCTCCACACAAGTCCCTAAAATACAGGGTTGGGGAGCACCACGTGCCAGGAGGGTGGCGCCCCAAGGTCACAGGGACTCCTGCGCTCAGGTTGCTGCTGAGCCCTGCCCCGTGTGTGTGGCTGTTCGCGTGTGTCTTCTAATATCCTTTACGGTAAACTGGTGATAGTAAGTAGCGTCTCCCTGAGCTCTTGGGCTGTTACAGCAAATTCTCAGACCCGAGGAGCAGTCCTGGGAACTTTCTTCCAGTGCAGTCAAGGCAGACAGAAGTGTGGGTTCCCTGGGGACCTCATCTTGCGACTGGTGTCCAAAGTTGGGGCCATGTGCAGTCTGACACCAAGTCCAGGCTGTTAGTGTCTGAATTGAAGTAAATAACAGGGCACCCAGTTGGGGTCCAGAGATTTGGAGAATTGGTTGATGGAGGGGAAATGCTGCATGTTTGGTGTCAAAGGTGTTCTGTGGGAAGGAACAGCTTTTTTTTTTTTTTTTTTTTTTTGGCTTTTTCTCAGATTCTTGAAAAAGGCAAGATATAAGGCAAGTCACATGTGGGGGAAAACAACCAAACCCCCACCCCAAAAAAACAAAAAGACAAACCCAAAATGCTCCAGATAATCTAACCTCAATCACAGAGGTGGCCGAGTCACTTGGTAGACATAGGATGGACACAGCCACACCCAAAATAAGGACATACCATTATTATTTTTATATAGTTTTACAGGGCACAGGTTCTTTACCCCCAACAAAAGATATAATTTTGTATCTTTTTAAAATTTTTTTAAATGTTTTATTTATTTCTGAGAGAGAGACAGTGTGAGCAGGGGAGGGTCAGAGAGAGAGGGAGACACAGAATCTGAAACAGGCTCCTGGCTCTGAGCTGTCAGCACAGAGCCCGACGCGGGGCTCGAACCCATGAACCATGAGATCATGACCTGAGCTGAAGTCGGAGGCTGAACTGAATGAGCCATACATGTGATTTTGTATCTTTTTAGTCATGCTATGTGGTCGCCTCTGGGCTGGCTTTGCACCCAACTCTACTCCGGTTGTCCCTCCTCATACTGAATCTCTTAAAAGCTGTGGGGCTTTAGGAAGTTCTCCCTGAGAGAGACTCCACAGGGGCCACGCCTCCCCAGATGCCCCTTCCCTAGCGTCCAGGCCTCCGCTCGGCCTACGGGGCCGCAGCCAGAGTGTCCTGGGCCCTCACGGAAGGTTCCTCGAGCCACAGGGGCCTGGGCCACACCAGGTCCCTGACCTGAGGGCTGTGCTCTCCTTCCTCCCCGGCCGGGACACCCTCTGGCCCCATAGGTGGGCCCCACCTGGCTTCCGGTCCTTTCTAGACAACTCCCCCAGACTCGCCTCCTCCTGCCTGTGCCTGGGGTCCCCTGAGCTGGGAGTGTCGTGTGCTCGCTGGGTTTCAAAGATCTGTACAGACAAAAGAATGTGAACTATCTGAATCACTTTTGATTACACGTTGAAATGACAGTGTTTTGAATATACTGGGTTAGATAAAAGATTATTAAAATAAATGTCACCTACTCCTTTTCACTTTTTAAAATGTGGCTCCTGGAGAAATCTAAATTACCTGCATGGCCTGCAGATACTGCCGTGGACAGCACGTCAGGGGAGATGGAGAAGGAAGGCCGCCCTCCAGGAAGGGGTCAGGAAGCCCCGTTTCAGGCCCCTCCCAGCCCCAGGGGTGAAGTGGACGGGACTCCCCCAGCCGCACCCCTCCTGCTCCGGACCCGGACAGCAGGCACCCGGCTGGGGAGAGCCCCACTGGGAGAGCAGAGCTGGTTTCTGCGCCCGGCCTGTCCCCACAGCGTCTCCATCCCGAGGGGGTCGAAATGGCGAAGAACTCGGTATTTTTCTCCCCCTCTGTGGTTCCCCAACAGAACTTGCTGTTCCACATACAGCTCTGCGAACCGCCGGCAGCTGCTGGGCGCCCTGCTTCCTGACGCTGCCGTGCTTGTAAATGAGCTTTCCCAGCGCGCTCGGAAGGCCAGTACGGTCCACAAACACGCAAACAGGCCGACGTATGCTCAGTCACGACGCTACTTACAACAATGGAAGGTGTTTGAAAAATTTAATTCTCTCTGCGTTTACAACAGAACCAAAGGGAGTCAACTTAACAACCGCTCTTACCTGCTGGTTTCTGCAAACCAGCTATGTGAACCGTATTTTAACAATATTAGAACAATAATTAGGGAGAAAGTTAACTGGATGATAGAGCTTTTCCACATCCCAATGAAACACGTAGGAAACTAGATAATGTTCGGTCCCATAACGGCAACCCCCCTGCCCGAGGGTCAGGTGGGCCGAGGGAGGCCGAGGCTTTGCCTGTGGCTGAGAAAGCGCCCGCACTCGGGAACTCCGAGGTAATCCGACTTCTCCAGAGAGTCTCAGCTGTGTCTTAGCAGCCCGTCTGGAGAATTTATTTCAAAATAGTTTTAGTGAAAAATCATTATGGCTTTTTAAGGCAGAGAGGCCTCCGGGGGAAACCGCCGAGACGGGGTGAGGGCGGCAGGAATGGACTTATTTCTCCCCAGAGCCTGCGTCAGCCCTCCCTCCCCCGACGTCACAGGAGTCAGCTCTCCCCCCAGGGCCGCACGACTGCGACAGCGGTCAGGGGCGGCCGCACTTCCTCAAAAAGGGGGGCGGCTTTGATCGCCGAGACCCTCAGCCACTGGGTAAGTCCCCTCGACGCCCTGGTGCAGGCGGAAAGCCCGCGCTTCCTGACGCAGCTGCTGACGCAGACCCGGCCTCTGGCTCCTTAAACGACCTTCCCAAACTACAGGTCACCTTCCCCCGGAACATCCCAACGAGATCTCTGTGCGGTCGGAGTTTTCTCCAGCGAACTCTACTCAATTTTCAACCCTTTGGATCTAAACTCGATGCGGAGGATCTGTGACAGGCACCTCCCGAACTCCTCCAGGATCATCCGCTCCGCCAGGCACTCCGAGCAGTGCTCCTTCTCAGCCTCCTCGCCCTGCGCCAGCAGGCAGGCGCACGTGGCTTCCACCACCTCCCAGGAGATGCACGAGGACCGCCTGGCAGAGACAGAGTGGTTACGGGCCGCGGCCCCCAGCTCCGGGGGCTTAAAGAACGTCACCAGCCGAATCTAACGCTGTCTTCCTACTGTTGGAAGCTCTCACTGTGACAACATGGAGGAAAAGCTTTTACAAGAACAACCCAGCGGACGGGCAACCCGTCCGACTCCTGCGCCCCTCTCGTGGCAGATGCTAAATTTCCTCCAGATTCGATCCACTATGACATTCAGAGGACCCCGTGGGCCGGACAGGGGCAGAAGCGGGAGTCTGGCAGCAGAAGGCTGGAGCTGGGCCGCACAGCCTGGTCTGAGCTCCGTGCACAGCGCGTGCACCACGGGAGCCACTCCAGGACGCCACCTGCCCCGAGGACTCGCCACCTGCGAGGGGCCCGTCAGCGTGGCCCGCCCCGCTCCCTGGATGCTCCCTGGAGCCCCGAGCCAGTTTCTGAAGGCAGCGCACTCTCTCATACGCGATCAGCCATGTTCCCCATGGAGCTCAAGAGGCAACTGCCCCGGGAGGGCTCAGACTGCAAAAGTTCAGGAAAACTCTTGAAAGGACTAGAGAGTGTTGTTTTCTAGTACTCTCCATCCCTTGTGCCCACCCCTTAGGCGCCCGCACTTTCTTTCCAGTGTATGATCAACTCTCCTCAAGTTCCCCTGTTTCCCCGCTTCTGAGGGGTAATTCAGGGTACCTACCGGTCCTTTCTGAGTTGCGGTAGTCCTGCGGACTTAGCTGGCGACAAGTGACGGCTGCCTTCAAACCCTCCAATGTCCGTATAGTAGGGCTGGCTCATTAGTGTTTTCCGTTCTGGGCTTTCTTCATAATTCTTGCAACCAATGCATTTGCAAATAGAAGAGCACATGATTTTGGCCTGGTAATAGAAAATGCTTCAATGAAATTAGACTGCTCTGTAACTCGTCAAAAAGCAACACATTCTATCTGGACCTTAAATAACTCTGTGTGTGTGTGTGTGTGTGTGTGTGTGTGTGTGTGTATGTGCGCACGTGCTGCAGATAACTGCATTTTTCACAAGCGGAAGCTTTGCTGCAACCTTGTGTCGAGCAAATCTGTTGACACAATTTTTCCAACAGCATTTGCTCACTTCGTGTTTCTGTGTTACGTTTTGGTCATTCTCTCATTATGACCCTGACGTTTTTGTGATGCTCTGTGAGCCGTCAGGGCCACTGAACACACAGATGATGGTCGGCACTTTTTAGCAACAAAGTATTTTTTAATGGAGGCCTGGACATTGTTTTTAGACTTCAGGCTACTGCACTTACCAGACCATAGCGTAATATATACATAACTACTTTTCCATGCACTCGGGAGGCCTAACCTTCTTTTGACAGCCATGCTGCGGTGATCTGGACCCAACCTGCAGTGGCTCAGTGGTGTTGGCCCTGCTGCGACCCCCTGCGGCAGGCCTGGGGGGTGTTCTGGGGGAGGCCCTTCCTGCTTACTTGCGGGCGGGCTTTGTTTCTCAGCACAAGGCAGTTTGCGACCCCATCTCACAGCAGCCCTGCCCCCCACTATGGTTCCCGGCTCCCTCTGTTTCAGCAGCTGGGGATTTCCCTCTGCTCTCTTCAGCCCAGAGATGCACATCATGTTTTACCTGCACCTCTGGGTGTTTTGAGCAGGAGACCTTTCAGGATTTCTAGTCTGCTCTGGAAAACACAGGACGTCTGTCTGGCAGAGGCGTGGCCCGGGGAAAATGGGCAGCTCACTGTCTCAGGGCAGCAGGGAGGGCACTGTCAAGGGCGGATGGAGATGCTGTCCGTGCATCCGAAATCCCTCTGCTGGGGTGATGCCTCTCACTGTCTGAATTCTGCATCTCTGCAATACTTCCAACCGTGTTTTCAAAATCCTAGCCAGGGGACTGCTAGGCCGGCTCACTCGCATCTTTCAACATGGGCACCCGGAATCACCAGGAGCTGTCTCAAGCCATCTGTGACCACCTTTTAAAAGTAAAATTCACAGGTACCCCCCAAGGACGGCAAGCAAACCAAGGAGAGCCTTTCAAGGAAGGGCTTCCTGGCTGCTTTGCTGCTGGGACCTGTGGGCTCCTTCCTCTCCCTCCCTGTCCTCCAGCACAGGGAAAGGGGACCGAAAAGGTGGCAGTAAAGGGGAAACCACGATTCCCTCCACTGCCACCGAAATCCTTGAGAAATGGGCGACACTTTCCATCAAGAAAGCAGTCTGCACCGCAGTGTCCCAGCTCTGTCTGGTGGCCAGGGCCCGCTGCCCACTACAGGCTATGAGCGCCCGGCCTGGGCACACGGCTCTGCCAGGACGGGGCTCCTCAGGGCGGGCAGGGCCGGGTGGTGGGCAGCCTCCACTGGGCACCCAAAGGGTGGGCTCAGGGAGGCCACCGGCTCCCAAAGGAGCCCCAGGCTCATTTGCTTGACTCGAAAAGCATAACTGGTATTCGAGAAATCGCTCACATTTATGTGCATGCATGACAGAAACCTTGGGAGGAAGAAAACTGAATCTGGTTTCGTTTTTAATTACAGTAAAATAAAAATTTTTTTTTTTAATTGCAAAAGTTACTTGGGCCCAGACGCTGACCTGCCGGCTCCCCCGCCCCGGGGCCGCGTGACTCACCTCGTAGCACTCGCAGTAATTCTTGAGGCAGCTCGACCTCCTGCAGTTACAGCCCTTGTTGTGCCGAGGCTTCACGTCCCCCGACTTCCCTTTGCCGATCTTCGGCTGGAAAGCCTCTGGATTTCTATCGAGACAGGCCTAAGGCGGAAAGCACAGAACTCCGTCAGGGCCCTTTGGGATGTAAAGAGAATGTTCCGTGAGAGGGGCCCCGTCTGTCTGTCACGCTGGCCCAACTGTGGCTCCAGGAAGGGCCACACGTGCTCTGCCCTAACGCACGTGCACACTTGAAGGTCTGGCCCCCTCCCCCCAGGTTCAAGGTCCTATGTGTATTTATTGTACAATAACTGGATGGTAAGGATGTGAAGAGGATGATTGTGTCCGTGTAGCCATCTCCCTCCGGGCATGTTTTCCCAAGACAGTGGGGATCGCGGCGCTCTGCTAACAGCGCATTAAATGCCTACCGTGTTCCTGGACCTTTCTGTGTGATTTACATGCACTCTCTCACCTAATCCTCACAGCGGCCTTGGGAAGCAAATACCACTGTTGTTTCTGTCTCACAGATGAAGACATTGAGGCCCAAGAGCTTAAGGAATAAATGGCAAGGGACTGAGTGGGGTCGCCAGGCTCCACCACTGGGCCCCGTCTTGCTCACACAACACACTGGGCTTTTTATCCTGGTTGGTTTAACTTTTTCACCCATCTTTCTGCTATCTATCTAGACCGATGAATTCATGCATATTGTCTTTAACAATGATGCATTGGTAATGCATCATTAAGTGTAGGGGCACCTGGGTGGCTATCGGTTAAGTGTCCGACTTCAGCTCAGGTCATGATCTCACAGTTCGTGGGTTTGAGCCCTGCGTTGGGCTCTGTGCTGACAGCTCAGAGCCTGGAGCTGCTTCGGATTCTGTGTCTCCCCTTCTCTCTGCCCCTCCCCCACTCACATTCTGTCTGTCTCTCTGTCTCAAAAATAAAAAATAAAAACATTAACAACAACAAAAGCAGAAAACAAAGTGATTCGGTGCAATTCGAGCACCACACAAGTCACCATAGCAGCCCTGCCCTTCACCCTCCCCCCCGCCCCTCCCCCTGGTTAACATGTATGGGCTGCGCTGTCTGACAAGACCTTCCCATCACTGCAGAGGGCCCATCGGACAGCACGGCCTGGAGTGAGGCTGAGGGACAGTGGAGTGCGATGAGTGGAGCACGACCCAGCCCCAGGGGCTCCCCGTGACTCCTCCCGGTCAACACACCCGGTGGGACCCCTCCCCCCGGGGCCGACCTCCACTGTTGCCCCTGTGCGATCCTTCAGCAGCATGGCACCTGCGGGACTCACCACGCGGAGCTCCTGCTTCTCACCGCCGGGTGGTGTTCCATCCACTCTCTGCCACCGATGGACCCCCGGGCTGCTCCTGGGGGCATGCGTGTGTCTGGCAGACATGCACGCTCACACACACTCACGCACGCTCATGCATGCTCACACGCGCTTCTGGCGCCTCTGTTTTCAGGAACGACGCTGCTGGCTCACAGCACATGCAAAGGTTCCACTGTACAAACTATTGCCAAACAGTATCCCTGTGGTTGTACCATCTTAAGCTCCTACCAGCGATGCTTGACAATGAAAACGCTTTTTCAAAAAGATTTTTTTTTTTAAATTTAAGAGAGAGAGAGAGCATGCGCACACAAGCAGGAGAGAAGGGCAGAGGGAGAGAGAGAATCCTAAGTGCAGAGCCCGACATGGGGCTTGATCCCATGACCTTGGGATCGTGACCTGAGCCAAAATCATGAGTCAGATGTTCAACCGACTGGGCCACTGAAGCACCCCCAAAATTCCAACACTTTTTAAATGAAACTTTATATACTTTTAACTGTAGACAATACCCTTTAACCCTAAAGAAAACACCACACCACTGAAGTTAGAGGCATCAAAACTCTCTTCTCTCCCATGGATTTGGCTGTATCAAATGGGTAAGATATTTTCAAGTGATCTATTCATAATTCAAGAGGGGAATTAAATTAATGTAGAAACAAAACAGACCGACCATGACACAACATGACAGTCTCAAGTCGATACGTGATGGCCCTTGATTTCCCTTTGTAAACTGGGGACACCAAAATGTGAGCCCCCACGCCTGACAGTCTCTTCTCTGATGATCTTTTATGCCCACAGGAAGGGATGAACCTCGAGCTCCCGCATCGAGCCTGTGGCAAGTGCAGGGCATTGGCCCCCTGAGGAACGTCCCGACGCCCCCTCCACCTGGAAGCCACAGAGAATAAACGTTAGATGTGTGTCGTGGCTGAGAGCTCCAGCCAGTCCTCTGTCCAGTGGGCTTCCACACCGCTCAGCCTCTGCTCCTCAAGGTCAGCTTGTGTCCTACGTGATAGGACCCAAATCTCTAAACCCCAAATCAAGATATCTGCACGTTCTGAAATCAGAACCTCCCGAGAGCATGGGGCATCACAGAAGGCATCCTGCATGGTGGGAATAAAGATCTTTCTCTGACTGCTGCTCTCCTGACAGCTCTCTCGAGGGCCAGTACCCCAGCTCCAGGAATCTCTGGAGATAGTTTTGTGAATATCTCATGCACTTGTATTATTCATTCATTCATTCATTCATTCATGAAAGAGTAGGGAGAGGGGCAGAGGGAGAGGGAGAGAATCTCAAGCAGGTTCCATGCTCAGAGTGGAGCCAGATGCAGAGCTCGATCCCACGACCCTGGGATCACGACCTGAGCCGAAATCAAAAGTCGGACCCTTGACCCACTGAGCCACCCCGGCGCCCCCTCAAGCACTTTTAACACTTTTAGAATGCGTGTATTCAGTGGGGAAATTGCTACCTTAATGGCCTTGAACCTCTGGATTTCGTGATGTAGGTTGTTACAACAATTGTTACAGTTGCAGTTGTTGCAGAAGTCCCCGCTGGCAAAGCAGTCGCAGTACCTGTGAAGCAATGACACGGTGTGTCAAAGGCGCAGACGGCGTGGGTGTGGGTGACGGCAGCGCACAGGGCAAAGGACCCGGCACGCTGCCGTCCACACAAGTGCTATTTAACGGTTCTGACTCCTTTTGGACGAGAGCTAGAACACCGGGGGTGACACTCCCCGGTGACTAAGAGGAGAAAGAGAAACTAGTTAGACCCACTCGTTTCACAATCTAAGAGTTTGCAAAGCAAAACGATCTTCTGGACACTGTCGGTCGCTGCCCAGGTGCCCACCGACGCCCCCCCAGGACGAGCAGGAGCCATCACCCACCCCCGGCCCCAGTCCACCCAGCACAACGGAGCTGAGCTCGCGTCTCGGCCAGACCTTGCCTGTGAGTGGAAACTAATGGGGCCCGGAGCCACGCCTGGCGTGGGCTTCACCTTTCTTCTGCTCCCTGTGGACCCGCGGGGACAGAGAAGGGAGTGGCAGGGGAGACACACGCACGTGCACGCACATCGACCGAACAGCTTTGTTGGCAGAATCCCTCCAGGACCGCGTCCACGGCACCCTGGGATCTGGAAGCCATAAAGGCATTACCAGGTGACAGGTGGCCATGCTGACAACCTTCTCTCATGGCTTTCCCTTGAAGAACGGTCAGTGTGGCTGGGCCTGTGTCTTGCACGGTAAGACACCTTCCTCGCCTGGTGTGAAAGTTCAGTGTCAAGGCAAGGCCGTCCGCCATCTTACCATAACTGCACCCGGAGGAGGAAGGCCGCCTGGCGTCTGGCCCATAACCTGCACCCAGAGGTTTCGGAAGCTGTCCTCCTGGAGAAGCTCCCTTCTGAGAGCACGAGGCATTGAAAAGAGCTTCAAATCCATTTGTAATATCAGCTCTGCCACCAGGTGCCCACATTATCTGATACAGGCTGTTTATCGTCAGCATCTTGAGGACTAAAATGGAAGTCATGGCATCTAAGCTACCTGTCTCAAGGGGTCGCCCAGGGGAGCTTGGAACCCCGCGTGGCCATACTTCCTGTGCCACACTGGGTGAGGCCAGGAGGGCAGATATCTGGCAACACGATGGGCCAGATGTCCATAGAAACCTCAGTTACAGAATTCATAAACATTTTTCTTTTAATATCTATGATTTTAACTTTCTTAAATAATACTTTTAAATGCATGTCAGGCCAAGGAGAGAGTAAAGATGATCATTAGGAAACTGCAGGGGTGCCTGGGGGGCTCAGTCAGTTAAGTGTCCGACTTAGGCTCAGGTCATGATCTCACAGTTCATGGGTTTGAGCCCCACATCGGGCCCTGTGCTGACAGCTCAGAGCCTAGAGCCTGCTTTGGATTCTGTGTCTCCATCCCTCTCTCTGCCCCTCCCCTGCTCACCTCTCTCTCTCTCTCAAAAATAAATTTAAAAAGAATAAGAAGAAACTGCAAACCCAGGGGCGGGGTTGGGGGGAGTGGTTCTGTGGCTGCTAAGGGTTGTCCTGGGGCGTCTGCTGCTCCCTGGTGACCCCGAGCCTGCTCGGGTAGGAGACAGAAGACACGATCCGGGCTACCAAAGGTGGGAGGTGCACCAGAGACCCCCCTCCCATAAAAAGCACACACCCTTGAAAGGCAACCTTCCCACAGATCATCAACTCCAGAGGAAGCGTGGAGATACTGCCTCTGTGAGGCACGGGAGTGGGGAGGTGAGAGCTTGCTAACCACTGGGACGGAGAGAAGGGGAGGAAGAGGCCCAAAAGCAGAGGAGAGAGGTACCGACAGCCGACTCAAGAGCACTGAACCCTGCACCAGCTCTGAAGACTGGGAAGCAGGGGGCCCAGGCTGCTCTGGGGTGGGGGTGGGGGTGGGGGATGGGAAGAGAACCGGTGGAAATTCTATTTCGGAGGGAGCCAGCCCCCAGGCTCCCGCCTGCTTCCAGCACCCTCCTCCTCTCCACCACTGTGGTAAGACACTGAAATCACTCTCTGGGGTAAAGCAAGTGAGGGCTGGGAGGTCACAGTGGAGCAAGGAGGAGAGGGGAACGTGGGGACCCACAGCCCTCTGGGATCCTAGCACCACCCTGGAAAAGCCTTCTCCAAGGACCCCCGACCAGCCCACGACAGAATACGGAGAGAAAGGGTCCCGCCCGGTGGTGCATCTACAGTGAGCAGGTCCCCACTGATGCTCCCGGGGTCCCCAGTCAGCTTACGCCTCATTCTTACATGTGAGCGGAGGGACAGCCGAGATCTGCACACGTGTCAGGAGACCTTTTGACTGGAAAGACAGAGGACTGAACAGAAACTGGGGGGAGCCTGCTTGGGATTCTCTCTCTTCCTCTCTCTCTCTGTCCCTTCCCTGCTTGTGTTTATGTGCTCTCTCTCTCTCTCAAAATAAAGAAGCATTTAAAAAAGATAAAAATAAAAAAACAAACTCTACAGATGTATAATCTGGATAAAAATAATAACTAAATTCAAAGTGAAAAAGGATAAGCTAAAAGATAAATTAAGAATAAGGTGCATCATAAACAGACAAAGAGATTAAAAATACAGAAAGGAGGTTGTGGGGAACGGTGGATACTTAGAGGGGCCAGAAAACGGCAGATCAGTGTTACAGGATGAAGAGACTGTGAGGACATGTCTACGTGTTCCAGAATCGTCACGCTGTGGATCCACTGATTTCAAAAACTTAGCGAACCCTCCAAAAGATAACGACAGAGAAAAAACAAAGACAAATGGGAAATCTTAAAAGCCCCAGAGAGAAAAGACAGGTACCTAGACTGACAACTTACTTCTTGTTAGAAATCATGGAAAACAGTAGAACAATATCTTCAAAGCTCTGAGAGGAAAACTGACAATCTAGAATTTTATACCCAAACTATGTTTACTCACCAAGGTCTAGACTGGGCACATTTCATCTCCTGTTCTACATACTTTGCTGGGTTTGACTGATTAAGTCTTGCCTCTTTCCTTTTTTTAATTTTACATGGAAGATTTTTAAATCTCTGTCCCCAAACTTGCTCTGTCTCCTCCCCTAAAAGCCTTGTTTTCTTTAAAAAAAAAACACATTTTTTAATATTTACCTATTCTTGGGAGACAAAGAGACAGAGTGCAATCATGAGAAGGGCAGAGAGGGAGACACAGAATCTGAAGCAGCTCCAGGCTCCGAGCTGTCAGCACAGAGCCCGGCGCGGGGCTTGAACCCACAAAGCACGGGACCGTGACCTGGGCCGAAGTCAGATGCTTAATCAACTGAGCCACCCAGGCGCCCCTAAAATCCTTGTTTTCTTCTTCCACCAACAGCATGGAAGGATTATTTACATCAGCTGCGTATTCTTCCTCGTCACCCATTCACCCTTTACGCTACTGCCCTCGGACCTTCTTCTCTATCCCTCTGGCTCTCAGAGGTGATCAACGACCTCCTCACTGGTGATGCAAGGACCCCTTCAGGGCACATTTGCCTCAGGGGCTGTGACACTTATGTCCCAGAAGCACATTTCCAACTTCCTTCCAGACATTTCTACTTCCAGTTCAGCGTCCAGCCTTAACTTGCAGTCTTCTCCCACTACTTTCTGCTCAAGCCATGCTCCCTCTCTACATCCATGGTGCTGTCTGTCCCTAAAATAATCCCGAGTCCCTTCTGACAGTCACCTTTCTCTCCTTTCCCAAGGAGTTACCAAGCCTGCTGATTCTGGCTCAGAAATGACTCTCTTTTTAAAAAAATTTATCTTTTTACAAGTAAATCACATTTGTTGAACAGAAGTTTTTTGATATAAACAAACACAAAGAAAAAATTGCAATCACCCAGAATTCCACACCCTAGAGATGATCGTTCCGTGGACATATTTCAGACTTTTTCTCTAAAAGTAAACATACTGAAATAAACATGTGTTGTTTGATTACATATTATATACAAGCAAAAACAAGAGCATATTCTATACACTGTTTCAGTGTGCTTTTTTTCCTTATCAATATCAGGAGTCACTATAATAACTTGCTTTTATTCCTTATCAATGAGTGTTTCCCATGTAAATAGATTTATACACCATTTTAATGGCTGCAAAGTGCCCCATTCTGTAGCAGCATCATGATTTATTTAATAATTCTCTTTATACTGAACGTGTAGATTAATTTACATATTTTGGAATATGAACAACACAGGGGTGGCACTGGCCTCCTTTCTGTTCCTAGAACCCTGTGACCCTCCCTGTCTTGCCACAGGGCCTTTTCACCTGCTGTTTCCTCTGCCTGGAACACTCTCAGCCACCTGCTTTCAATCCACCTCCCCGATTAACTCTCCTAACCAAACACCCCTCCCTCAGGGAAGCCTTCCCTGGCTTTTACACCTGGTCACCTCCCCCCGCCCGCACACACTTTGCCACATTGTCCATATTTCTACCCTGACCTTTACATATATATGATTATTTTATTCACGTCCATCTCCCCCAGCCGGCTGTGAGTGCCCACAGGGCAAGGACCATGACTATACTGTTCCTTTCGCTCTTCCTCGGTCCTGAAACAATGGGCTTTCAGCAGTATTTGTGGAATGTATGAGTAAACGTACATGTCTGAAATATCTCTTAAGTCTCTGGGGTTTTTTCTTCATTGCTACCCTCCCTGCCTTAGTTCAGGCCTTCCCCACCTCTTCTACACTCTTGTGATAGCCTCTTAACTAATCTCACTTTCAACTTCCCCCACACTTTGCCATTAGTGCTAATTTCCTAAAGCATGTACCAGGCAGAAAGTACCAAAGAAAATGCTGCAATCCGAAAACACAAAATTCAATGGTATTGTGCACTCCTGGTGGGGATGTGAGATGGTACAGCCACCGTGGAAACCAACAGGGCACTTCCTTAAAAAGCTAAAACCCAGACTTATGACACAATCCAGCAAGTCTACTTCTGGGCATACAGACCCAAAAGAATTGAAAGCTGAGACTCAAACAGATGCTTGCTCACCAGTGTTCACAGCCGCAGTGTCCTCAGCTGCCAGAAGGTGGAAACACCCATATGTCCATGACCCAGATGAAGGGCTAAACAAGACGTGCTCTATTCACTCAGTGGAATACTACTGAGCCTTGAAAAGGAATGGAAGTCTGACGCCTGCTATGACACGGATGAGTCACTGACGCCGAGTGAAAGACGCCAGACACAAAAGGACAAACATTGAATGATTCCAATTAATATGAGGTCCCTAGAGTAGGCAAATTCAGAGACAGGAAGTCGAATGGAGAGGTTGCTAGGGACTGGGGGGAGGGGTATAGAGTTTCTATTTGGAATCATAAAAAAGTTCTGGAAACGGATAGAGGCGATGGTCGCACAACACGGCGGATGCACTTAATGCCACTGAATGGTGCACTTAAATGGTTAAAATGGGGGCGCCTGGGCGGCTCGGTTGAACGCTCAGCTCTTGATTTTGGCTTGGGTCATGATCTCACGGTTTGCGGGACTGAGGCCCACGTCGGGCTCTGCGCTGACGGCGCGGAGCCTACATGAGATTCTCTCTCTCTCTCTGCTCCTTCCCTGCAGGCATGTGTGCGTGTGCTTGAGTTCTCTCTCACAAATAAAACATGGTTAAAATGATAACATTTTTGCTATGCATATTTTACCCCAAAAAAAGCAAGATGTACAAAGTATGTGTGGAATGCTGCCATTTAGCTGAAAAAAATAATTAAATAAATTTTAAAACTTCAAAAAAATAAGGAGGTACAAATAAGTCTATATATCAATAATGAGAAAAAATGCAAATGGATGAAAGAAGACTATTAAAATAACGGATCATTAGATTTGCTTTTTAAAAATCCAGCTGTGGGGCATCTGGGGGGCTCAGTCAGTTAAGTGTTCGACTACAGCTCAGGTCATGATCTCACAGTTTGTGAGTTCGAGCCCTGCGTTGCGCTCTGTGCTGACAGCTCAGAGCCTGGAGCCTGCTTCAGATTCTGTGTCTCCCTCTCTTTGCCCCTCCCCATTCACTCTCTGTGTGTCTCTCTCTCGAAATTAAATGAATGTTAAAAATAATAAATAAATAAATAAATAAATAAGCAAGCAAGCAGCACAAAAAGCTGGCAAAAAAAGAGTAAAATAATACAGGTATGTGGGGGAAGTGAAAAGGGGAAAACTCAATGTACCTCTGAAATAGGAAACAGAGCAGAAAACCAAAAGCTGATGCCCTGAAAAGACTGATCAAATAGACAAACTCCTCATGGGAAAGATCAAGAAGGAGAAAAGGTACAAACAAATGATAGTGGAAATTAAAACCAGAAAATTAGAAAATTTAGATGATATATACAGAGACAATTTTTAAAACAATACAAGACTATATAAACAGGAACATGAGTAGACTTAAAATTTTAGAGAATGCAACAATTTTCAAGAATATAAAGTATTAAAATGGACTCAAGAAGAAATAAAAACCTAGAGAAAGCAATAACCGTGAGAGAAAGTGGACTGAGTAATCCATCCCCTTCTCCCACTCCAAACCACAAAGACACCCAGCCCAGATGGGTTTCTTTTTTAATGTTTATTTATTTTTGAGAGAGAGAGACAGAGAGACAGAGCACACGCAGGGGAAGGGCAGAGAGAGAGGGAGACACAGAATCCGAAGCAGCTCCAGGCTCCGAGCAGTCAGCACAGAGCCCGATGTGGGGCTTGAATTCACGAACCATCCAACTGTGCCACCCAGGCGCCCTCTGCCCTGGTGGTTTTACAGGCAAAGTGTAATTAAACTTCAAAGAACAAATAAATGCTTTTTTTTCCCCCCAGAGGCTTCATGAAAGAGTGTAAGGTGGGGGTGGGGATTGGGAAATCTGATAATGCATTTTATTAGGCAATACAAAACGCTGGCTTTGAAACCACAACAAAAGTTTTAAAAATGTGAGAGAGGGAAATTGTAGCTCCACCCTACTCAAGAAAAGATGCAAAGTCCTAGGCAGAATATTAGAAAACCAGATCTCGCAGTGTTCACAAAAAGGTAAAATCGGTACATCGTAATCACTTTGGGTTAAGTCCCTGGCACACAAGGGTGGATTAACATTAGAAAATGTGTTGGGGCGCCTGGTGCCTCAGTAGCTCAGAGCCTGGAGCTGCTTCTGATTCTGTGTCTCCCTCTCTCTCTGCCCCTCCCCCTCCCCTGCTCATGCTCTGTCTCTGTCTCTGTCTCTCTCTCAAAAATAAATGTTTAGGGGCGCCTGGGTGGCTTAGTCGGTTAAGCGTCCGACTTTCGCTTAGGTCATGATCTCGCGGTTCATGGGTTCGAGCCCCGCGTCGGGCTCTGTGCTGACTGCCAGCTCAGAGCCTGGAGCCTGTTTCAGTCTGTGACTCCCTCTCTCTCTGACCCTCCCCTGCTCACGCTGTCTCTCTCTCTCTCTCTCTCCTAGAAATAAAAAAAAAACAAAACATAAAAAAAATTAAATGTTTAAAAAATAATAATAAAATAAAAATAAATAATTTCCTAAACCTTTTTAGATGCATATCTGAGCTGGTAAAAAAAAAAAAAAAACTTAAGGAAACCCCTCAGAAATAGGGGTTACTTAGAAATAAATAAAAATTTAAAAAAATTAAAAAATGAAGCTTAACATCTTTTTTGAAAATCCATACATTTTCGATAAAATGCCGAAACGTTTATGTCTTTTTATTAAGTTTACAGTAATATTGTTTTAATGATACAGATTAATTTTATTATTTGAAAAGTTTCCCAACTTCTGATGGCAAACGGAACAAGAGGTTGGGGTCTGTTACCTGAGTTTCGAGGGCCACCAGGGGAGGACTGGCAAGCGTGACTCCAGCTCTCCTGGGGGGAGGGGGACGCGGTGGGGGTGCCCTCTCTACCACAGGACGGGGCGCCAGACAATCCCCCAGGGAGCTGGACACAGACATCAGTAAAGCAGGAGGAGGAAGATTCCAGAGAGGAGTCCAGAGAACGGGGAGCAGCGGGCTTCTGTTCGGCTTCCAGCGAAAGCCGGCCGCGGCCCTTCCTGGCTTCTACCCACGCGCCCGGATCACTGTGACTTTCAGGAAACTCGGCAATGTGCTTCCTCTTCCTCAACGGCCGACTTGCCGTAATCCCTCGTCACCTCTGTCCCATAGATCCTCCCCATAAAACGGGGACAAACGCACCCTAAGAAACCTGTATTCCACTGCTTAGTTGTGGGGAGAGAACTGAAGACTGAAAGCCCTTGCGGGTGACTATGAAGCGACCGAGACTCCACTCCCGACACCCGCTCCCTGCCGGTTCTCACACGCGGGTCCCGCGGCACCCGTGGAGCCGCAGCGCTGCCACCGCCAGCACAGCCCGCCGCCAGGAGCCCGTGCAGGCTGGCTCGGCGCGGGCGGCTGCGTCTGCCCACTGCTTAGCCTTTCCAGAAACGCTATTTGCAGAGACCGTTGCTTTCTCAGTGACTGACTGATACCAACAAAACGGACCAGAATGCCATGGGTTACCTCCTGGCAGAAATAACACCCACTCCATGCCCATAATGGTCACGGCTCCTATTCAAGGGCCCTGGCTTCTCAGCACGGAGCTACCGAGGAAGCTGACTGTCCGGTCGGGGGTAGGGGTCCCCAAGCACGGCGTGACGGCTGCGGGCCTCTTGACACAGCACTGCTCTTGAGAAGGCAGGGCCCGCATCCCTCAGGGACAGCGGGGACAGCAACAGCACAGACCACACCCTGAGCCTCCTTCTCCTTTGTTCCCACGCTGACCAAGGCCTCGGGACGGTAAATTCTTTCCTTCGTGCACCAGTCACCCATCAGCCTGCAAGAAGCTATTTCTCTGGCCTTCCGTTGTGAGCTCACCAATGAGTTAAGCCCTCTCGGAGCCTCACCTGAGCCTCACCTGACTTCCCAGGCCTTAGGGGTACCTCGCCCCGTCCCCAGTTACCGTCTGCCCCTGGCTCCAGGCTTCACAGGCTATTTGGCCTCCGTGGTCCCCAGACAAGACCGCGGCTTGGCCTGCCCCCTGGCTCTGTCCACTTGACACGCCGCCACCTTGTCCTCCACGCGTCAGCCCTCTCCGTCTGGGCCCGCCTGTGTCACACGCTCCGGGCTTCTCCCCTGTTCTCCTGCCCCCGCAGCAGAGCCGCACGTCAGCGGGCCCACGGCGTCCCCAGCGCTCAGAGGTGTGTGGCTCATGTTCACAGACTAAGCCACTTGAGCTCACACGCCTGCACACGGTCACCCTAGACCTCAGCGCTGCCTTTTAAAACATGACTTTGTCTTCGCAGTGAACCAAGTTTCCCGGACTTCTGGGCTTCGCCCCGCGCGCCCCCAAGTCACCGTCCCACCAGCGACTTCAGCGGGAGCTCTGCAGTGGAAACCCACATGGAGACGGTCTCCGACATCAGGACCGGTCACTTCAAGCAGGTAGGGCTTCAGGGCAGAGGCAGGCAAAGCTGAGAGCAAGGCAGTCGCCACGAAGAGCGTCCACGTGTGGCAGGGCAGGAGGCGAGGCCGGGCCACGCGCTGCCCGCCACAGCGACAGAGCCCACGGCTCTGCCGCACCGCCTGCCCGACCGCCGCCCTGACGCAGCCTCCTGCGAGCTGGCCTCCCGGGGGGTGGGGGGGATTTTTCCAAGAAAATTCGATATTGAGTATAATCGACAGTTCATCGAACTTGTAAAAACCAGGATGCGGAAATGCTACGCTCTGCGGGGTGCCGTGCTTAGCACTTTTCCGAGGGGCGGACACGAAAGCCAAAGCCCAGGGAAGCTGCCCCGCGGGAGGTGCAGGCAGGGTCCCTTCCCGAGTGCTTCCCCAGAGACCCGACCCAGGCGTACGCAGAAAGCGCCTGCCCGCTGCTCTGGCTTACAGCAAGCCTCAGGGCGCGGCTGTCGGGGCGCGGCCGGGCGTGCGCCCTGCGAGCGGCTGAGGCACATCGGGGCTCCGCTCCACTTACTGGCTTCTAAACAACCTTATTTCTATTTAATAATGAAGGATTTGTGATTACTTACAATTTCAGACACTGGGATTTGGTACAGTTACATGGCTTTTTAGACTTTGTGTCCCATGAACTAAGAGTTACTCTATAAAGATTAAAAAAGAAAATGTATTCAGATGGTTACTCTTTAAAAAGAGAATTAGCTAAGTATCTGGTGTTTTTGAATAGAAACTGAAAATCTCAATGCCAGATAGTTATCGGCATTAATAGCGGCGCCTGATTGTGAAATGGAGCCGTGTGCATATTCACATGACGGAGCCGGCCTGGCCGGTCCCAGCCCGAGCGCCCACCGGGGCAGCCGGGGTGTGAGCGGGACCCTGTGCCGTCCCCTCCCTGCAAAGCTGTCGGGAGTCTCTTCCCTCAATCTGCTTAAAGCCCTGCCGTGTGGGGCCCCTCACACCAAAGAGCTCCTTTAGTCGTGTATTTTCCAAAACCCGAACCCTATCGATGGCGTCAACTAATCAGTGCACGTTGTCCCAGTGGTGCTGGTGCTGTCCGCGCAGCAGGATTCAGCAACGTCACAGCAAGTGTCGGGCGTGTCGTGTGGCTGTTAGGGCCCTCCTCCTGACTGCCCTGGGGACGAGCCCGGGAGCCATCTCCAGGGACATCAGAGGAGAGGCTAACGTGTCCTGGCGGCCGCTAAACATGAGGGGTGACTGTGGATGTAAAAATCAGGGGAGGTTCCCGAGCGCTGCCTTACATACTCGCACCCCCGGCCCCCGCGGGGAACTGCGACCGCAGAACACCGGTGGTGTGAGAAGTCAGACCGCCGTGGTGGACACGTGCGCCTGCACAGGGACGCTGACTGGGACGGGGCTGTCACCTCCCCGGGCCGTGCGCTCCCTGAGACGGGGGGTGCAGGCTTGGCCTTCATGGCCACCGGCTGCTCCGGGCCCAGGGCTTCCCACAGGAGGCTCTGTGGGCACTTGACACATCTCACAGTCACCAACCAGATCACTGCATGCCCTTTGTCCCGTGGCCGTCACTAACGCAACTCCCTGAGCACAGTGTGCGAGGCAAACCGCCTGGCCCCGCGTGCCGCACACTTGACTCCAGGAGCCAGGGCCGAGGTCGTCCTGAACCTCCACTCAGCCCATCCCTGGCTGTGCCCTGGCCTGGTCCCTCTCGTGCTGGCACACTTGACTCGACCCCCCTTGACCCCAGCAGCCTCGCTGTCTGGGCTTCTGTTTAGTGACACCCCTCCCCCACATGTGGTCCCTGACCCGGGGACGAGCTGCTAACTCTCATGTCCGCAGTCTTCTGTTTTCAGTATAACGTCCCCAAACTGCGTCCTGAATAACACGTTAACTTATCATTCATCCAGTTCACTTTCCCCCTTTGTGGACAGCGCACCGGCAGATTTCTGTCCCCAGGGTGCCCAGGGGTGGCAGGCCTGGCTGTTCGACCCCCTGACCTGTGCACCGTGGATGAAACGTGGGCTGTTTGGAGGAGGGGGCGTGGACACTCAGCCCTCTCAGCCCTGCCCCCACAACGGGCACAGCGTGGCCTGGCACTGCCTGCCCAGAGGAACCAAAATTGTTCCATTTAGGAAGTGGGACGGGGGCGCAGGGAGACACTCCAGGGCTGACCCGCCAAATGCCCAGTATCAGGAAGACACCAGCAGGCATTTCCTGAGAGACCATCATGTGGTCGGAACTGTGATAAGAGCAGTAAAACCTTGGTTTGCGAGCATAACTCCTTCCAGAAACATGCTTGTCATCCAAAGCACTCGTGTACCAAAGTGAATTTCAAGAACCATTGGCTCAGTTGTGATCGAGTGACGTTCGGCCTCATGTACGACTCGTATTGCGAGACCTCGCTCGTTTATCAGGTTAAAGTTTATTAGAAATGTTTGCACACGCACAGAACAGGTTCTCGCCATCCACGGTTTTACCGCTTGTGTGAGAGGAGTCCAGCACATGATTTGGAACGTGAGCTACACACAACTGAAAAGTCGGAGGACAGAAGATACTGTATACTCAGCTGTCAGATGATTCGGTACTGACTGTGAGGGATATAAAATTCAGAAACGGTAGCTCAGCACAGACGACAGACGTTGACACAAAACCATCCGCTTCTGGAGGAGACAGAACCTGACACCACCTGTCAAGGCCATGACAGTGCATGTTGGTCACAGGGCTGTTCCAGCTGCAGCAGCAGCGTGAGCAAAGGCATCACGTCAGGGGTGAGCACAGAGCAGACCAGGGCCGGTTAGTCATGCGAACTAAACTGGAGAATTCCACGGCCCTAAGAACATCTGCCTTCCCTCTCCCGCCAATCTGAAAATAACCGCATCAGGACAGATCCGTACAATTCTGCCTCAGAAAAGCATGATAAATAAACACACCAGCACAACATGACCTCATCTTTGAGAAAAAAGTTCTCGGAAAAATAGTCTTGAATGGTCTTTATTGTGACGTTCATGACATTGCCCCAAATAACAGCGTCAAGGACCTATCAGAATTCACATTAACACCTGACTGATAGCACGATTACTAAAGCTATAAAGAGTGACAGGACGGGAATTATTAAAAGAAGGACGGGTGAGCTCGCGCTGCAGGACGGCTGGCCGGCCCCGCGTCACGGGCTGGGTCAGAGACCACGTGGGGCCGACACGGCTGCCTTCCCACGTCTTCAGCCCTCTCTGACCTAGTTATCTTGTGCAAGTCAGAGAGGAAGCTGACGAAGCATCTAAAGGGTGACGCGTCGCAGCAGCTCTGCCGCGGCTGGAACTCGCACGGAACCACACCCACAGCTTTCGGGCGGCTCCCGTGCCGTCAGCACTGTGGGTGCGCAGATACAAACCACCAGGGCCGATTCAGCCGAGGGCCATCAAACCAAGCGATTATTTGCATCAGGGAAACACAACCAGAAAGCCCATGTTGTTCCCAGCACATCATTTATATGAGAAAAGCACTTTTATGACCTGCATAGTTACTTCAAAATGAAGAAAAACACATGACTGGTGAGAAAAGCTAGGAGAGCCTGGGCACACGGTGGGGGACCCGCCGCATGACGGCGCCCCCCTTACTGCCCCCCAGGAAGATGTGGGTCGGCCGGAGGAGCCCCGGATGGCCCCGCGAGTCCAAGTGTGCACACCTGAAACAAAGTATTAGAAGCACCAAGTCCCCTCAGATGCGCCAGACACACTACGGCACGTGGAGGCAATCCGTGGACCAGATGCTCCCGCTGACAAGACAGACAGAGGGAGCATCTCTGGGACGGTGACGTCACAGGCCACGCAGTGCGACCACAGATGGGAGGCCACCAGCAGAGTCTGGCCGTCGCTCAGGCGGCCGCTGTTTTGCCAGGGATGCGAAGAGCCATGACGACAGAGCGGTTACAACAACAGCGACCACACCCTCACGGATCCCCCACCAAGAGGGAAGTGAGGACAGTGACCCCACACAGCCGGGTCCCACTAAGTTCATGGGACGTCCCCGGCTGCCCTGTTACGACCCCTGGAAAGACCACAGCAGCAGCGAACCATGGGAGCCACCGACTCCGTCCAGCGAGCACGTGGACTGGAGGGCATCGAGAAGCCCAGGACCTGCCACGTGGTTCGCCTGGACTTTCCACTGCCCCCAGACACCTCTCCTCCCAGCACGAAGCCTGCAGGGACCTGGAGAGCACCAGAGGCCACAGTGAACACTTCATGCACCGCTTGACCTGATTTCTTTTCGGGCGCTGGGCTGTCCGACCACAGTGGACTGTGTGCCCCAAACTCGCGGACGCAGGACTGCACTGATCTCATAAGCCATTAAAGGGCCCCATGAGCGGAAAGGGGCGCCCCATCCATGGTGAGCACATGACCACTAACTCAGCAAAGAGTTCCTGCCAGCTTGGTTAGTTTAATTAGTTACAATTATAGACAACACTTTCAAAGGGCAAGACTAATCCCAGACAAGTACAAGATCCCACGTTCACGTGGGGACCATGTGCCTCGGCGCCTGCCACGGAACGTGGGCTGACCCAGCAGGAGGCGGCAGCGGGCAGGCGCGGGTAAAGGCACACCAAGACCACCGGCAGCATCAGGTGCCGGCCACACCGTTACTTACGTTGATGACAGCAGAAAAGAAAATAGAGCCTCTCAGTTTAAACTGACGTAAAACCAGCACAGAGCCACGAACGGCGGCGAGCCTCTGAGACACTGGCCCAGCCGGTGGGCGCCGCTGAAGGCTTCCCAGCAACAACGCACCAGACACGCGCGGTCACATTGCTAGTGTCACCGCTTAAGGTACAACACATTCTTTAGAGGGCAGGAAGGTTTACAGGTGAGGCTGAGTTTGCAACTTAGAATAAAATCACACATGTACCCACGAGCCTCTTACACTCTTATATTAAAGTAAGTGACCATTGATTGCTTTTAATCCTTACCCAGCCAAGGTTATTTTTGGTGGCCCTGGGAGACCTGATCCCGAAGGGAAAGTAGACCCGTTGACCATGGATGGTAAGGCTCCGTTGTCGAGCTGTTTAGAGTCAAAGGCAAGCATGTTTTGAATTAGTACACGTTTTAGAAGTTCCATCCAGCCCACCCCTGGGTACAGACAACAAGCAAGGACTGACTCCCTTCTGCCGGATACATGGCAGTCACTTTCCAGGCCAGGCCCTGTCGGCACCATGATTCCACTGACCCAGAGTGGCCTCCGGCTGAGGCTTCTCGGCAGCAGTGGGGGGCGGGGAGGGCCAGCCCACATCTCCCCAACCCGCCTGGCCATGGCGTGCCCGGGCGGGGGAGAAGGTCCTGCCTGTGCAGACCAGGGGGCGGTGGGGTGAAGAGGCAGGGCCCGGGCGGCCACGGGCAGGTGGGTGCGCAGCCGACACAGCCATGGCTGACGGGCTGGGGACACTGTCACAGACATACCTGCTTCATTTTTATGACTACAAATTGTGAAATAAATTCAGTTCCAAACTGTACACCCAAACTGTTCTTTGATTATGACTGTATTCTTGGTATAACATAAGAAATCTTGACCTCTGAAGTCTTATCAACCATTAGTTTCTTGTCCAGTCAAAAACAACGTGATAGTCAGAGTCAACAAACCCAAGGGCACTGTCACAGCCTCGTACCCCCCGTGCCCTTTGCCTTCTAGGCTGTCATTCACCCTTCTCTCTGCTCCTCCTTAGTGTGGCTCAGAGGGAGTCCCAGGGAGAAGGAAGGGGCGGCAAAGTCCGCAATGACCTCATTGTCTTCTCGGAAGCCTGCAGAAATGTCAAGTTCTGTGTAAATTCAGGTTTTGAGGTGATTTCTATAGATCATACTTCGATACCCTATCCCTGTCCCCTCCTCCCCTGACAACTTGAAATTAAAAATTAAGCTTTCTATACAAAGGACAGGCTGGGGGCGCCTGGGTGGCTTAGTCGGTTAAGCGTCCGACTTTCGCTTAGGTCATGATCTCGCGGTTCGTGGGTTCGTGCCCCGCGTCGGGCTCTGTGCTGACTGCCAGCTCAGAGCCTGGAGCCTGTTTCAGTCTGTGACTCCCTCTCCCTCTGACCCTCCCCTGCTCACGCTGTCTTTCTCTCTCTCTCCTAGAAATAAATAAAAATCTTTAAAAAAAAAAAAACAAAAAAAACAAAGGACAGGCTGGCTGGGTGCCCAGCTGGCTCAGTTGGTGGAACATGTGATTCCTGATCTTGGGGTCGTGAGTCCAAGCCCCACCTAGGGTGTCGACTCCTTAAATAAATACACTTAAAAAAAAAAAAAGTACAATCTTAGAGAAACAAAAATGTCTTATTCATTCTCATTTTCTGTCTTTCGCGCCTTGTTAAACCATGTGTCACCACTGCCTGTGGGGCCTGAAGTCACTGAGAAGCCGCCCTGGGTCCACCTTCTTCAGTACGAAGCCCCGTCCTCCAGGGAGCCTCCCCCAGAGCCCCTCTCTTCCACCTGGGGATCTGCCCTCCTCACTCGATTCCCAAGAGGGAAGTGCTCACAAGTTCCTGAGACCATCTCTTTCATGCCACCCAGACACCTGCCAGGCCGGCGTCCCCAGTGGTGGCCCAAAGTTTCACATGCTTTTGGAGAAAGGATTTCCTGATTCGCAGGATTGAGGCAACTCTGTGCATAAACCAGGCACAATTTCTCTTTTCCCCTGTGCTTATTTAGCCCCGAAGCAAAGGAGAGAGAAAGAGAGGGCCTCAGTACAACACAGGGGGTAAATCTAGAGCAACTTCGTGCGAGAACCCATGACCTTGCCCCCTGGGGGTAAAGGCATGAACTCGAAGGCAGTGTGTCGCAGCCATACCATCTAAGATCTTGCTGAAACACAGATTCCGGGTCGGGGAGTCTGGGGCAGGGCCCGAGAACCTGCATTTCTGACAAGTTCCCAAATGACGGTGAGGCTCCTGGTCCACGCAGCAAACTGAGCAGCGAACTGCTTCAAATACACACAGAAGCCGGGAGCACGTGGCTGGCTCAGTCAGGGGAGCGAGCGACTCGGGACCTTAGGTTTGTGGGTTCGAGCCCCACGTTGGGGGTAGAGATGACTTAAAAACAACATCCTTAAAAACAGACACGCAGAGTTGGGGGGGGTGGCGAAGAAGCAGCAAACACGTTGCTAAAATGACTCCCTCAAACTCTAGACTGGACAAGAAGCCGGGGGCAGCGGACACGGGGACATGGGGACACGGGCACAGCCACGGGAAGGTGGGGAGCGGGTGGTAAGAAAGGAGGTTGTGGTCCAAAGGGGCGCTTCGAGTGTCCCGCCGTTGAGCCCCAGGAGCAAGTCCAGGGTGCGCCTTTCCGACCGCGGCTGAGACCGGACGGGGCGGCTGCTGGTGGGGAGGCAGCCAGGAGGCAGGCGGCCTCCGTCCAGGATCAACAGACTCTCCGCACCCGGCGCTCAGGGGTCCCCGGCTCGGAGCATCCCGCCTCACGTGCTGTTTGAGAAACACTGACTTACTCACTGGACAAACCCCCACGCCTCACAGATCTCCCCTGGGCCCATGGCTTTAAATGCCTTCTATGCCCTGGCGACCCCCTGCCTCCAGCCCAGCCCTTCCTCACGCTGACCTGCAGACCCGTGTGGCCGACACCTGTGTGGCACGGTCCCCGGGCACCTCCGGCACCCCCTTCTGTCTCTGGGTGGAAACGCCTCCTTTGCATTTGTTCAGGCTGAAAACCTTGGAGGGACCCTTGCCTCCTCCTCCTCTCGCTTCCCTCACCAGCCCGTCAGGAGCCCTGCTGTCAGCCAACGGGGGGGGGTGCTCCCCTGCACCCCCACCCCGGTGTGAGCTGCCATCCCCCGCCATCACCTCTCACAGACTCCCCCCTGCTCCCACCCGGCCCCTGCCCTTCCCGGTCCTGTCCTTCCTCATCTCCCCCCCCCCCCCACCGCCTCCGGTCTTCCGCTACCTTCTCTCTACTCGCTCCGTTCCAGCCCCCAGCTCACTGCCCGCTTCCTCGCTTCCTCGCTGTCTCCACAGCAGGCTGACCCTCGGCTTGCCTGGTGGCAGGCACCTGGCTCACCCTCTCCTCTCTTTCAAGGTTTTGCTCAACTGTCATCTCCTCAGCGGAGCCAAACCTGACTGCCCTGTTTAAACTTGCATCCTGCACCCCCCACCCCCCGCCGCCTTCCAGCCCCCTGCGCCCACCTCTGGTGTCCTAGCATCCGGTGTAATTTGTGTATTAGATTTGCCCATTGGCTGTCCCCCACGCTAAAACGTAAGCTGCAGGGGGCAGAGTCACGTGTTTTCCTTCGCTTTGGTTTGGGGGTGACACCTAGCACGAGCTCACCGACGTAATCCACGCGCTCGGACCGGGCCTGCCCCAGCGAGTGAAAGTCCCCCACACGAACCAGCGCTCTCTGTCCTGGCTGCGTTCCAGCTCAGTTCACAGACACACACTGGACTCACCAGCTCTCGCCTGTAGTGGCCCGCGTGCCTGCGGGCGTGTGACGGCGCCATGGACACTGGCTGTCACCACTGCAGGCTCCGAGCTGTCAGCACAGAGCCCGACGCGGGGCTCCAGCCCACAAGCTGTGAGATCATGGCCTGAGCCGAAGTCGGACGCTCAACGGACTGAGCCCCCCAGGCGCCCCCTAAAACTTGAGGAAAGCATTTCTGTTACACCCGGGAAGCTGAAACCTGTTCTATACCAAATGGGCGGCACGTGCCGGTGGATGGCTGGGCCACAGAGGACAAATTCAACAAACAGGGCAGAGCGACGGTCTAGAGGCCGTGGGAAAGGGCTCGACAGCCCCCCACCCCGAGGTGGGCACAGAACTGTGCCTTGAACTCACTCCATTCCCTCCCGACCCCCGGAGTTGGACCCAGTGGCGAAGGCACTGAGTACTTGGTAAAGGTCTCATTGTTGCTTTTAGGACAGACGATAAATTCTATTTCCTGAGTAAGTCCAACCTCGACAATTGAAATGTTACGAGAAAATAATGCCCAAGCATATTTTTTTTTAATTTAAAACAGTGACTCACTTGTTGTGTAATGAGATTTAATTTTGCTGGCACTGGCAAAAATCTTCCTACTAAAGTAGTCATTGCTTTAGGGACATCTGCAAGGAAGACAATTAAAATTAATTCATAACATATATTGTTCCTTTTCTGCTTGCACATTGAAGAAAGTACAAAAATGATCCTGTATCATGGATTTATCATGTGCAAAATCACTTAAACTTATCTTGATCCTATTTGGGTTTTTTTTCTGTAAAACCTTTTAAGTCAATGTTTTTTTTTTTGTTTTTTGTTTTTTGTTTTTTTACTTATTACACCCTTTTTCTTGGTCATAAAGCTACTTAAGTTTCCAAGGATAGCCTACTATATTAAACACACACACACACACTCACACCTGTTGCTAGTGCCCAGGTTCCCAAACTGCATGCCGTGGGGCCTTCAGGTGCCACAGCAAACCCAGCGGTAGGTCCCTGCATGTCACGCTTTTGGAGAAAGCACAGCGACATCTGTTGGACGCTGTGTAAACTACTTTCAATTTATGTGTATTCTTTTTTCAAATGGTCACTAACTTGCTAGGATGTAAATACTTAAAAGGCTATTTGGACCAAACTACTTAACTGCTGGAACTAATACTATTTCTCTGGTCTAAGGGTGAAAAACGTTAGTGACACATGAAGGGCCCTGAAAAGCTCTGTGTGCATGAGTCCAAGTGGAAGAAGGAATGTGTCTCAGCGTCCTGACCAACTGAACACATTTCCTGCCCCAGGCTTGTGCACCCTTTGAGTGATGCTATCTTGAGACTTTGGTAAAAGGATCCATTGATTTTATGCTGGTATTTAATATGTGCACGGTGTGTGTGTGTGTGTGTGTGTGTGTGTGTGTGTTTGATTTTGTGACAAGAGAGTAGATTTGGAGAACATTATATAAACCCTCTCCTTCTGTGGATCTAAACGCGTTAGGATTTCGTCATGTTCCAGAAAGAAGGGAATTAGGAAAGAACCCCTCTCTGCCTGTGTAGAGGATCAGATGCTTCTCTGACCTGTAGAAAACTCATGGGCATGTGGCAAAGGGCTTCTAGAAGAGAAAACCCCAACCTCAATCCTGTATCATAGAAAAGTAAATGTCTCGAAGGCATTTGGTCTATCTCTAAATATAGACAGGATGGGATAGGAGTCATAATATTTGTTTTAGCCATGAACTCCAACATTTCACTTGGAAGGACATTTGTTTTTAATATTGATTTAAATTATTGGCAGGAGCAGCATGGGAACATAGTCAACATATCGTATCAACTTTGTAGGCAACAGATGGTAATTAGACTTCTTGTGCTGATCAGTTCCCAGTGTACACAAATGCAAAATCACTATGCTGTGTGCATGAAACTTGCCTACTATGGTATGCTAACTCTACTTCAACAACAACAAAATAAAACAAAAATAAACAGGGGCGCCTGGGTGGCTTAGTTGGTTGAGCGTCCGACTTTCGCTTAGGTCGTGATCTCGCGGTTCGTGGGTTCGAGCCCCGAGTCAGGCTCTGTGCTGACTGCCAGCTCAGAGCCTGGAGCCTGTTTCAGTCTGTGACTCCCTCTCTCTCTGACCCTCCCCTGCTCACACTCTCTCTGTCTCCTAGAAATAAATAAAACATTAAAAAAAACACAAAAACAAAAATAAACCATTGGCAAGGTCAGTGAAACATCTGATAATAACACATCCTGCTTAACTCAAGATTTAGAATAATGGTTCTGTATATAAGCCACATGAAGAGGCCCAGTGTTCAGGAATTAGTGTCTGACTTTTGCAAATACAATCCTAAACTGGTGTCATTTATTCTTTCTTTAATCATTTATAAGTAATTTGAAGATAATCAAGTACTTATAGGTCATTTATTATCATGATGCCTGTTTGAAGATGTTTCTGAGTGAGTGGTAGAGAAATCAGTACTTGATACAGTTATTTCAAACCTCGTGGTGATTAAAGCACAGCCATATTTCTATTACATGAAAACGTTCCCATCAAAATGTATGGTTTATGCCACACCTGAACACTCAGCCCCCCCACGCGATGTGGGAAAGGTTGGTATTTCCACCCGGTCCCTTCTGGGCACACCCACCCTTTGGTGAGAGCAGTCGCCCCTTGGGACCCGAAAGCTCTCTCCGGCCAGCGAAACTAGGCGGTAGCTATCCAAGAACACAGTGCATGTCAATTAGTCTACACAGATTTGTTTTCTTTTCTTAGTTCACCCATAAGGGCTGTGAGATCTGCCAAACTGCCTGCTTCACAACCTAACTGCCTATTTTACGTTCACTCTACATGCAAACCAAACATATTCACTTACAACTTACATATGACATAGGACACAATTTTGGTAGGAGTTTACTCCGTACCTGACTGTAGGTAATTATTTTGGTCTTGATACTGAGGAACCAAATGAAGTGCTTTTAGCTCTCTCGTGCCAGAATTGTCTACACACAGCATTTGTGTGCCCCCTTTCAACTGACATATCACCTAAAATGAGAAATAATGATCACGTTTCATTTTTAAAAGATATCCAGTAGTATGAGCCTATAGAGACTTAAATCTGAGAAAGCAACTTTAATCCAGATTTTAAGTTTTAGTGGAAAAGGGCAAACTGGAGCTCTGTTCTCGAGTTTTTACTCTACGATAATGCGTTCTCCGGAGGCACCGCACCCCGGAAGTGCATTGTGAGATGTGCCAGTGTGCAGACCAAAGTTCCTGGGGACGCCTTCCCCTACAGGGGGTGGCCCGCAGAGAGACGGGGCGGGGGCAGGCGACCACGCGCCAGGGCTCCCTTCACCGCCCTTGGACTCCACCGTCAGCACCAGTGAAGGGCATGGTGACCTGCCCGGCCCCAGCCCCGTTCAGATCCAGGTAATGTAAGAAAGACTTCGTCCCCAAGTCCAGCTCTGGAACTGGTCACATCCTTGGAATAATCTTTAATTTTATGAGTTATTCTCTCCTGCTATACACGCATTTATTATTCTTGTACACGTGGTGAGTTTGTTTTTAATGTACATTTATCTTATTCCCTGCAAGTACAGTTTAGAAAGGCTAATCCAAGAACCGGGAGATTCTAAGAGGCCACGTCAGTGTTCCTGGGCCTGATGGGCGCTCTCAGATCACGCAGGTGGATTCTGACCACAAGCAAATCCTCATCGAGCCAGGCCCGTCAGTCACAGACAGAAGCCAAGCAATGCACAGATGAGAGTCCTCCCCAGGTGCAGTCCCGGTCCAGGTGCTGCAGCCTGGATGGAAAGAGGAGTCGTGGCTTCTCCCCACGCACAGCTCCTAATTCTCACAGTCAAACCACAGACACCCGGAGAAGCTGTGGTCCCCGGCTTTCCCAGACAGGAAATAAGCATTTGGCTTTCCCAAATAAGCATAAAGACTGATGTTACCAGAATAACGCATGTTATAGAGCCTTACAAGGTGCTGGTCCCAAGGTGCTGATCGCTGGGTCAGACCTTTAGCTCGCCCTGACATTGGCTAAGAGGTCGGTATTCATGTTTGGTTGGAATTCTATTTATATTCAGAGGATAAAGTCATAGCCACACACACACACACACACACACACACACACACAGGTGCACATAACAGGGGCAAAGGCTCTCCCAGGCCCCGCCGTGCCCCCCGGGATTGTGTGCACACTGCTCAGTCAGTAGTCTGGTAGCACTGGAAGGGTTCTCATCCTGTCCCCCTGGTCCGGGCATTCTGGAAAAGCTCTGCCCTCAGACCTCATGGGCCAGAGTGAAACCACAGACAGGGGACAGGGGGGCAGGTGCTACCTCGTGCCCCGGCCAAGCCACAGTCTGTGATGGGCTCATCTCCCAGGATTCCCGAGCTCAAGTGTGTGCCTTAGAGCTTAGGCCTCCTTTCTCGGAATAAAGAGCCACCAGGGAAAAGGCAGTCTCTGGTTCTTTGGACTCTTTGCTAGAGGAACAGTGGGGGCCCATTCTCGGGGTCCTCTCCTTCGCAGGCCTCACCACACGGAGCCAGGGGGTCCGAGACACACCGCTTTCGAGCACACCATGTAACATCTCTGTTTTCTTAACCATGAAATGTAGAAGGCAACAAGTTGGTAGGAGGATTAAATGAAAACACAAACATGTACAACTCTCACACAGACCCCAGGCGTTACGGATCACCCATCTCATGAGACTGTTACTTGGTATGCTTGGGAGGTTGGAGGCAGGCACGAAGGAAAGCAGCCACAGAACCACACCTCCAGCCACCCCCACCCCCCACCTGCACCCAACTAAGCACAGAGTCCTATAGGCCGCCCCATCCCGGGGCCAACCCGGGTCTGCACTGACCGATGGGACTTGCAGTTACCTCCTTAGTGACACGGCAACGTCCTAACCTTTGTCTGGTTTGCTGTGACCAGGGCGATGAGAATCTTAGAAATGGATGGAGCCCTAGGAAGGTTCTAATTACGCCCCTTTTAAGAGACGACACAGACAAAAAGGCGGATTCAACAAGTAAATCAATGACTCCTGTTGACTTGGCAGTGATCAGAGCCAAACGCTTACGATCCTGTTAGACACATTTCTTTGGGCATCATTACCATGGGGTTAGAGTCCTTCTTGTGAGAGCAGCCAGAGGAGTCCTCTGCTTCCTGGGATGATGGGAACTTGCAACAGGGTTCGGGGCCGAGAACGTTCTGAAACATTGCTTCCTCCGTGTTGTTACTTAAAATTGCACCACCGGCTTCCTTTATTTCCACCTAAACAAAGCAATGTTTTACTTTAGAAGTCACACTGTGGACGCGGGGGTCACAGCTACGTAATGTGGAAACTTCTCTGCAGAAGTTATGCCTTTCAAGAGCGCCCTTACCTTTCCTTCTTCTGTCCCTCACTACCATTCTCCCTATGGGGGGCGACAGGGGGCGCAATAAGCCATCCGACCAGCCTCGCTGGGGAGTAAGGGCCCTGAGGACTGAAACCATCTGCCCACAAAGTGTGGATGGAGGTGTGATTTATGTGGTGCTCATGCTGTTGAGGCTCCCTAGCCGGCCAGCTGCCCCTTTCTCACCGTTTTTAGAGCTCGCTCATTAGGTTGTGTTAGATGTTCCAGTTGACTGTTTTGTCTTTTTTGTTTTTTCTCTCCTCCAGAAGCCTACAATCCCTGCTGATGTTTCCGTAACGTTGATAACACATTTAAAGGCAAACTTATAATTACGCAGTGGTGCCCTCCTGACCGCGTGGCAGGATGATCGCTAACAAGAAACACTGAGGTCAGGAGGAACTGTCAACCGTGTCTCTGAGCCACGGTCGGTGACAGCGGCCCACTCAGGGACACGGGGCACCGCCACCAGAGAGATGCCACGGAAGATGAGTGGAATTTAAACACTAAAAAGACTCAGGGGTTAAAGAAATTACCATCAGATTTCGGCATTTCGAAATCGTGAGGATTCTTTCTAAAATTTGCTGAGAATACAGTGACTTTCCAAACTAGGGCCCCTGAGGGGGCAGCGCGCATTTCCTTGGGATCCTCCCGTCAGCTGACAGCAGGAACCTACGCAGACTCGGTTTGTGTTCGTACACCCGGCCCTGGAACAACCCGTCAGCAGCAGAGCGCTGCTGCTCTCGCGTTTTGATTCCATGCAAACTAACTTTGCTGCGTTTTCCAAGGTGCTCGTGACGCTAATGTCAACAGGGGCTTTTTCCCTAAAGCCAGTGACAGCAGCAGGGCCCGGGATGACGCGCCTGCTGGCTCTTGCCCTCTCCCGCCCTGGGCTCTCTGTAGCGTTCGCCCCCCTTGAACCCGGGACCCGGAACCTGACTCTCCCCCAGGCAGACCGGCTCACTGGGGAGCCAGGACGCTGGGGGGCGGCGGGAAGACCTGGGGACGGCCAGTGGGCTCGCTTCTCCGTCTGGGACAGGGTGACACAGGTCCCGAGCCTACTTCCCACATGGATCTTACTGGAATCACCCGCACGCCCGGCGGGGCGGCTCCTTCCCGGGCCCAGGCGCCCAGGGGCAGGACGGCGGGACTCCTGTGTGGGGCCAGCAGGGAGGACAGGAAGTGGACGTTGTAGGCGGGCGGCGGCGGGGCCAGGGGCAGCACCGCGTCCTCCAGGGGGCTGAGCTCGGGGAGGCGCGGGTACTCGGCCAGCATCTCGTCGCCGTCCTTGTCCCCCGCCAGCTTCCCTTGGACCTGGCCGGCGCCGGCGCCGAGCAGCGGGGGGCTGAACGCGGGCAGCGGCGGCTCTCCGGGGCCCGCGGGGCTCAGGTAGTCGCCCTTGAACACGTGGATCTCGCCCTCCTGCTTCACCACCACGGGGGCTTTCAGGGTGAGGTTTTCAGAAACAAACGGACTCTCCGCGCCGAAAAGGTCGGTCACCATTTCCTCCTCGGGACTGGTCATCCCGCCAAGCAGGGGCGCCTCTTCCATGTCCGCTGAGGGGACCTCGGCCGGGCATCGCCCCGCACCCCTCGCCGCAGGCAACAGGGCCGGGAGCCGAGCACCTGCGAGCACACGGCCAAGTGAGGTCACGGCCGCGCCCCCCCCCGGGCCCCCCAGGGGGGTTCCTCCATCCCCCAGCCAGGAGCTGACCTGGAAGGGCCTCCCCGTCCCCGAGGGCCCGGAAGGCCTGGCTGGGAAGGGGTCCCCCCCACCCCCGTCCCCGAGGGGCTGACCCGGGAGGGCTCGCGGGGTCCCCAGGGCCTGTCCTGGGAGGGGTCCCTCCGTCCCCGAGGGTCTGACGGGCAGGGGTCTCCCCCGCCCCCGTCCTCCAGGGCCTGTACCGAGAGGGGTCCCGCCCCTGAAGGCCTGACTAGGGTACCCACTGTCCCCCTCCCCCCCTCCCCTCCTGCAGACCCATAGGCCGGGCCTGGGGACCGCAGGGGAAGGGCGCGGGCTCAGGCCTCCTCAAGGGGACACACCTGGGGCCGCGGGGCTGCTGCGGGAGCTCGGAGCCAGGATGCGGCTGAGCCGGCCCCTCACGTGCCGCAGGCGGTTGGCGGTTGGGGATCAGGAACAGGGCAGGGCCGCGCGGGGGCGGGGCCGCGAGGGGGCGGGGCCGGCGACAGTTGGGGTGGGGGGAGAGCAAGGTGATCCTGGCGGCGTGGCGAGGGGGGGGGTGTCGGCGGTTGCTGCAGGGAGGTGGGCCAGGGTCCTCAGCGCCAGGCTCACATGGAGAAACTGAGGCACTGAGCCCCCCAGAGCAGTCTGACTTGTTCAGATCAAAATTAAGATAGATTCTTTTTTCTTTTTTAATTTTTTTTAATGTTTTATTTCTAGGAGAGAGAGACGGCGTGAGCAGGGGAGGGTCAGAGAGAGAGGGAGTCACAGACTGAAACAGGCTCCAGGCTCTGAGCTGGCAGTCAGCACAGAGCCCGACGCGGGGCTCGAACCCACGAACCGCGAGATCATGACCTAAGCGAAAGTCGGATGCTTAACCGACTAAGCCACCCAGGCGCCCCAGATTCTTTTTTCTTTAAGTGAATAATACATAAACTCTCCTACTGAAATATTTAAACATTACAGTCAGGGCTGAAGCGTCCTTAAGTACCATGCCAATCTCCCATCACGCTGCCTGTCAGAGGGGACACTGAAGTCTGCTGTGGACCTTGCCAGCCCTCCCCAGGGCCTCATATACACGGGCATGTGTGGATGACCTTACTCTAATTTTACGGCTGAACTAATCACATCATGTTGAAGTCAGCGGAGTTCAGGGCAGGGCTGAGAATGCGGTTTGGGCTTCCCAGACTGTAGGGATCTAGATCAAGTCCTCGTAAAACAAGTGAACGGCTTGAAGAGCCGGACCAAGGGCATCAGCCCGTGAGTCCGTAGCATTCACTCACTCATACATCAGACATTTTTATCGAGCAGCTGTCATCAGTGCGGCGTGCACAGCCACCTGCGTGGAGTCCCAAGCCAGCCAGACTCAAAGACCCCGGAGCTCTGGCACATTCCTCGATGCAAGTCCAGCCTGGTTGGGCCAGCCAAAGCCAGAGCCATCTTGTTACTCAGCCCTCCGCCCAACTCCACCTCCTGTCTGAGTCGGCTACTTGCACCAACTTGTGACCCTCTCATCTGCCTCGGGTGGGGGGGGGACACCTAAGATCCTTTCAATGGCTGCCTTGGTTCTCGCCTCCTCCCCCTGGATCCGATCTCCACCACCGCTGGAACCTGACCGGGTCCCCACTCTACCAAGCAGAGCTTAATACACAATAGGCACTCAATAAAGCCTACCGAGAAAACTGAATTCATGGATCCACTTAACATATTTGTCAAACACCTATTGTGTGAAGGACGCTGTTCCAGGCACGGGGGCAGGAACGGAAGGCATAAAGGGATGTAGAACAGAAACCCACAGCCCAGGGCGGCGTGCCTCCTCAGCTAGGCCAGTGAAATCTTGTGACATACACTCTGCCCAAGCCAGGCCACCGGTACCAACCTCTGACCCTTGTCTCCAGGGCCTGGGCTTCGACCCTGACTTATAACCTCCTTATTAACATAACAGAAGAGCCAAGACGAAGACTGGGATTAATGTTTTATTACTGGTAACATTCTTACTGCATTTCTAAGATTTACATCTCAAAGAGCATATTGTATTTACAAGCAGTGGACAGCCCAAGGTAACGAATTCAAACCACAGCTCCTTTAAAAAAGACTATGGCTTATTCCAAATTAAATACATAATACTCTTCCCTCCTTTCAGCGTGTACAATAAAACCCCACTCTTCTTTCCTCGAGGAAATATAAAATTGCATTGATAACTGCACTGGTTAACACTAATTAATTACATTTGAAATATTTAAACCTGAGAGACAAGCCCGAATAGGTGTAAGTGCTACAGGTCAACATTCAAATTCACATGTGAACGTGAAAGTGATACAGACTGGTCAGCGGTCAACGGCGCAGGACTCAGGTGGCTCTGAGAGTGACTGATGCCAGATTTTATTGGAAGCCACGCCCGCCCGGGGCAGACCGCACTATCCCCCCCCCCACACACACCCCTTCTTGACGATGAACCACAGACGAACACGAGGGGTTTGTTATCGTAGTTGTTGGTTTTCATCTTAGAGTTTTTGTGTTTTGTTTTGTTTTGTTTTGTTTTTCTGCCTGGTTTCATTCCTTCTTGCTTTTAAGAGAAAAAAAATCTTTGGCCCATTTAGGTGGGAATTTTACACTGAAATATATACATAAATAAAATACGCGCATGTGCTCCAATAACAAGCGCCCTGTCTCCTCCAACAGTTGGGCCTAGTCACTGCATCAAACTGGAGTGCACACCTCTCAGAGAGGCAAGCCCAGCCCGGACAAAGTGGTCAGCAAAATAAATTACACAGCTTTAAAATTGGGAACAGCGAAGCCTGCCGTGACAGCCCAGAGGCAGTGAGTTATTTCATTCCATGATCCTTCAGTTTTACGTTAAATATTGAAGACGATTCAGTGCATAATTGCTTTTTGGTCAATCGGACTCTGCATAAAGGCGCTGCCACCTGAAGGAGAGGGTTAAACTTAGCACCTGTCACCCGGGCCTCGTGGGGGCCACCGAGATGACATGGCCTGCTGTTTCCTTCCCCCCCCCCCGCGTCTCAGCTGGAAAGGAGAGGGGTCCTCTCCCCCCAGGCAGGATCAGAGAGCACGCCTGGGGCCGACCAGCGCTGCGCTCTCCTGACCACTGGAGGTTACTCTTCCCGTTTCTCGAGCTTTTTTTGTTTGCCTTCGTCCGCGGTCAACGTCACGCCCTCCTTGCTGTCAGCCTGGCAGTAACCCTGCCGCACGGCCTGTACCTTTAATTCTTTTCTTCAGTGACTACTCCTGACCATCACATCTGGGCACGATCTCCCTCGCTCCCCACTTCTGACACACACACTGTCTTCCTTTTGTCGCTTAATGCTGCGAGGAGGGGGGTCCGATGAGGGACCTAACACAGCCGCCCTCCGAAGGACACGGTCTTCCTGGGGGTAGGGAAGCCACCAGAAACACCTATTTACAGGGTTACCCACTCGGTAAACTGAGGGAGGAGTAAGACGCTCACAATTCCACCTGGAGACCCTGCAGAGTAAATCTCTCCTATGGTCTCCCTTTCACGGAGGGCCTTCCGTTTTTAAGGCACTGGGTTTTGAAGACTTGCACGGTCAGTAAAAGCTACAGAATGCGGCACGCCACTTGCTCCAAACACGGAGAGGCAAACAGAATGCCAAGCCAGACGAGGAAAGAGTTACCCACGGGGACAGAAAACCTAAAAGCGCGCTGCTTCCATTAGTGCGTTACAGATGCGTCAGCTATGAAGGGCTTAACATCTCCGCCTTGAGACATTAAGCTCTGATAAAAGTAAATGCCCATCAAGGACCAGGGACTCGGTCCCCACCGAGGAAACGTGCCCCTTTCATTTCCCACGGGTGAAGTCACACCACCACTAGTCCCTTACTTAGCTCAACCATATTTTTATCCCGTATATAAACACAGGCGGATGCAAAAACTTCCAGGGCGGGGGTGGGGTGGGGGGAAGGGGGTAGGAGGAACCCTCAGCAAACGTTCCCAAAGTCAGGACCTGCCAGGAAGTAGTGGGATTGTACTTCACAGGGTGAAGACGGCTGTTCTAGGAAGCAAAAACACCAAACCCTCGATGGAAGGAAAACTTCTGCGTTTCGCAGAGCAAGTTTTCACCCTGAACTATAATCAGGATCAACAGCTACTTTTCATTTGGTTTTTTCTCAGAAGAGCTCGTCTTCCTTCACGGCGGCTCTTGTGGAATTACTTTCTGGAATTGGAGCTGAACCCAAACAATCCGATGATGTCAGTCATCGCCTCTTTCAGGTGCTTCCCAAAGCGATGAGAGTCCTGGCATTCGAAAACAAAGAACGGAAAGCACACGTCACTGCGAGGAAATCCCCACACCACGAGCCATGTACAAACGGACTCAACACACATTCCTTTTGGCTGGTTCTCGAAGCTCTGAGGTCATGGCTTCATCGCTACGTTCTAACATTCTGGAGAAGCGCTGAGGGTTCAGAGATAACCGGCTGTGCCTGTGCGAGTGTGGGTTTGATGGAAGGCTTCCCCTCACGGCCACATGTTACATAAAACATGATAACTAAATGAATTCCAATCCTCTCTGCTAACAGCACGCTTGGCATTGTTTTCAAGCAATGCTTTCCATGTGGAAAGGAAGACTAGAAACATGGAGCGGGGGCGCCTGGGGGGCTCAGTCGGTTAAGCATCCCACTTCGGCTCAGGTCATGATCTCACAGTTTGTTGAGTTCGAGACCCATGTCCGGCTCTGTGCTGACAGCTTGGAGCCTGGAGGCAGCTTCGGATTCTGTATCTCCCTCTCTCTCTGCCCCTCCTCCACTCACGTTGTCTCTGTCTCTCAAAAATAAACGTTTCCTGGCTCAATAATAAACTTTAAAAAAAATAAAAATAAAAAAAGGGGCACCTGGGTGGCTCAGTCGGTTAAGCGTCTGACTTTGGCTCAGATCATGATCTCATAGTTCATGGGTTTGAGCCCCGCATCGGGCTCTGTGCTGACAGCTCAGAGCCTGGAGCCTGTTTCAGATTCTGTGTCTCCCTCTCTCTCTCTGCTCCTCCCCAACTCATGCTGTCTCCCAAAAATAAACATTAAAAAATATTTTTATTTAGGTTAAAAGAAGGGTGCCTGGGTGGCTTAATCAGTTAAGCATCCAACTCTTGGTTTTGGCTCAGGTCATGATCTTGTGGTTTATGGCTTGGAGCCCCGCATCGGGCTCCACGCTATTAGTACAGATCTATCTGCTTGGTATTCTCTCTCTCCCTCTCCCCTGCTTGTGCGCTCTCTCTCAAAATAAACAAATAAACTTAAAAAAAATTAGATTAAGAGAATTTTTAAATTCATTTATTTGGAAAAATGCTCCAGGCAAGTAAAATACAGTTGAACTGGTCTTCTCTGCCAAATTAAAGAAGAACACTTCTGTCAAATTAAAAGAAGGCGGTAAAAACACCCCGTCTTTAGAAGAGGGGGCCCTGTCTTGTACTTACGGTCTCAGGGCAGGAGAATTTGGAAGATATGTGGAAGTTGATGAGCTTCTCGCCCACGAGGATGTAGGACACCCCGTACCCGTCGTCAGCGACCTGCGGAGCGAGGCACGTGTGAGTTGAACCTTGGAAACGAGGCGACGGGATAGCAGGGCTTACGTTTTACATACAGGACGGGCACCGACGCCTGCATTAACACCACGCAGGAGTCCGTTCAGACGGCGCCCAACGAGGCGGCGAGGGGCGCAGACCCTGCAGGAAGACCTGACGCGGGGGCACGCCCTATCCTGGCCCTGCGGCCCCGTGTCCGTCACGCTCAGCCACTTACCGGTCCAAAGCCCCCTCCACTGGACACGTACTCCGGGTTCCTCTCCAGATCGAACAGCTCCACCTGCTGCTGCGGCGTCTGGCTGGTCGACAGTCTCCATGGCTCCGATAAGACCTGCCGAGGACGAGGGGACACTCTCAGGGCGCTTTTTTTTTTTTTTAACATTCAGTTTTCAGAGACAGAAACAGCGTGAGTGGGGGAGGGGCAGAGAGGGAGGGAGACACAGAATCTGAAACAGGCTCCAGGCTCCAAGCTGTCAGCACAGAGCCCGACGCGGGGCTCGAACCCACAAATGGTGAGATCATGACCTGAGCCGAAGCCGGACGCTTCACCGATGGAGCCACCTGGGTGCCCCACTAATGATGCTCTTCCCCGCACCATCCTCTCTGTCCCTGAGCAGTCGTGCCGGGGACGGGGAAAGGCCTGCTTGGTGTCTGGGTGGTCACAGATGCCAGAGGTCACAGACGTCAGTCTGAAGGCCTGGCTGTCTGGGGGCAGTACGTGTGCAGAGAGGACCCAGGGCACATGAGGGCATCTGGATGGCGGGGGGGGGAGGGGCGGGCAGCACCGGCAGAAAAGGGGGTGGATACAGTAACTAAGATTCGAGAAGGGGGCTGTGCTGCGCTGAAGGGAATTCTCAGGAAGTTTTCGAGCTGCCTGTTAAACATGGCATTATTAAAACTTAAATTTTGGGGGCTCCTTGGGGGCTCAGTCGGTGGAGCATCCGACTTCAGCTCAGGTCATGATCTCACAGTTCATGAGTTCGAGCCCCACGTCAGGCTCTGTGCTGACAGCTCAGAGCCTGGAGCTGCTTCAGATTCTGTGTCTCCCTGTCTCTCTGCTCCTCCCCTTTTCGCTCTGTCTCTCTCTCATAAAGAAATAAAAACACTTAAAAAATGTTTAGTTAAATTTTATGACTTAAAATTAAATAAACTCTATTACAAACGAGGTGATACTCATCGCTCCCGAATTACGTGAGTACATCTTCCTACAATCACGCGCGAGGTGATCTGTGTCTGGGAGGCCAGGAGGGTCACACGTGACGTAAAGTATTCCCGGGGACTGAGGGACACAGCTCGGACCTGACCCTGTGATGACCGTCCAGCTATAACACCCGTCAGTGAGGCCACATCCAGCCAGAGAGGCTGCAGCGACTGACTACCTCTGGGCGTCCCCGGGCGCCAGGGCGAGCTGCCGCCGGCAGAGGCCACTTACCTCCTTCAGGAAAGGGGAGTCCACGCCCAGGTACTTGGACACCACGTAGAGACAGAAGAGGTGGCGGTCGATCCCAGAGCCCGTCATCGCGAGGCGGTACAGGTGCTGGTGCTTCTCGGATGCGACCTTGAACAGCCGGAGCTTCTGCTCCACCTAAGCAACAAGGGTGGGGGAGGTGCAAGTTGTGCGGGTGGGCCTCCCCTCCAGTGGTCCGAGGGCACGAGAAGCGGGGCTCTCCGGGGGAGGCGTGCCAGCGACAGGGCGCCTCGAGGCTGCAGGGGACGCAGGAAGGGGAGCGGCGCTGAGGTCCCCAGTCCAGCCAGCCCAGCGTCACCCTGCTCACACCTACGGATTTCCTTCCGAAGGATCAGAAGCCTTTGTTCTTGGGAACAAAGTTTCCCCAGAGCAGGGCAGGGAGGGGCGGGGCGGAGCACGGCGCCCCGGCCTCAGCCGCGCACCACTGTGCTCTGGGCGCTGATCTGGGCTCAGCTGCATCCTAGCTGTGTGGCCTGGGAGCCTACGGAATTCCTCGGAGTCTCCGTCCCTTAGCAAATGTAACAGCTCCCAGGCCACTGCCAGGGTTCTCAGAGGCGGAGCCGCGAGCCCACGCGGGGCGCCGCGGTGTGGGCAGCGGGCATCGAGCGGAAGGCCCCCGTGCCCTCACCCAGCTCCTTGTGCCGTCTCTGCGTCCCCACCCGGGCCTCCCGTGTTGTGCGCAAGGCAATCTAGACTCAGAGTCCAAGGTGTAGACATCACGGAGCGGACGCAGGCGTTAACCTCTGCGTGTGTCCCGACCACGCTCAGTTCCCTTGAAAGGAGGTGGGGAGAGAGGCTGAACACGGCCCCCCTGCAGAGGCGGTGGCTCAGCCCCTACGCCCCCTCAGCCTGGCGCCACCTACCGTCTGGCTGGCGTCCACCATGGCGAGCACAAAGTTGCAGGACTCCGTGGTGCAGGAGCGCACAGTCTCCGTCCTCCCCTCTCGGAAGAGCCGGGTCATGGAGGCCTCGTAGGTGAGGCAAAATTTGCCCATGTCCTGGGGGAGGAAACGGGTTTTCATACAGGGCCGGGCAGGCCGACGGACCCCAAGGCACATGACGGGACGGGCTGCGGTCAGCTTTAGCTCTGAGTCAAGGTCAGTCTTCACACGGGGCGGTGCAGCAGGCAGACGTCGTTAGCCTTGGGAAAGGCTGGGGGTGCGGGGGTCAGTTCCTGGGTCGCCCAGGTTGTCTCCACGCTTTCCTGTGCTTCCCAGTCCCCCCCACCCGAGTGCAGACACGTTTACGGGGAAAATGCAGGACAAGGAGATGTTCATGCAGCCAAGAGTCTGAAGTTACAAAGAGACACCCCAGCACTTCTGGATGACGACGACGAGGACCCAGCAGACGAGGGGCAGGCGGGGAGCAATGTCCCCCAGCAGAAGGGCAGGGGGCCAGGGCCCGAGGGGACACGAGGCAGAGGGGGCGGGCTCTGGGGTCCGCCAGAGTCGGCCGCCCGGCGCCGTGAAGGGGAGCAGCCGGCACTTTCGCGGGTGCAGGGCCCAGCAGGCGGAGAGCTGGCCCGATCCTACTGCGCCTGGGGCCAGGGGACGGGGGCGGGGAGGGGATGGGGAGGCGCCATGGGGCCCAGGAACGCTGGCATCAGGGACTGCAAGGGGGCTGGGGTGGCAGAGGCGGAGACCCCGGCAGGGACAGCTGATGGTGGCAGCAGGTGGTGCCCAAGGTCGGGGTCCGAGGAGCACGCGGACCCCCCCCCCCCCACCACACGTGCTGTGGGAGGAAATCACCTGCAAACTGCTGGCGGCCTCCAGGCCAGCTCGAGGACGCCCGATTCCCGTATGGACGGGAAAGCAGTTTGCGGACCCAAGTTATTCCTGAGCAGACACGGCTCCGGCCTGGGGGACCCCGAGTGACGGAGGACACCTTGCGAGCAGCTGATCCGGTACCCAAAGCCGGTGCCAGGGTCCAGGCTGAACCTCCCCGGGCGTGGCCATGCCTGAGTGGCCTTCGGGGCTCTGTCCCTCCCCAGTCCTGCCTGTAAAGTGACGCGGCAAGCAGGCCACGGGGTGAGGAACACAGGCCAGGAGGTCTGTGACGACTGGCCTTCGGTGGCTGGCACGTCCCCACATGGAAGGCTTCCCCGCCACCCCCAGCTCACACCCCAGTGTGACTTCCCCAGCCGTGGCTCCGGCTCCTCGTTCTAATCTGTGTGCAGTAAGAGTAAGAACAGGACAGGCAAGCGGGGGTCCAGGGGGCGGAGCAAATCCGCCTTTCAGAGAACTTCCCGCCAGCTGTGCTTTCAAAGGGGCACGTGATCCAGCCATGGGGGGAGGGGGGGCGGGGAGGAGAAGATCCAGGAAAAAGTACAAATTTGGCGTTTTAGTCATTTCACAGGAGTTAGCCTGGGTTACACGAGGCGATGACTTATGTGAGGCCCGCGTCCCAACACCAAACTTGAGTCGCGTAAGTGGTCGGCACGGCCATGCAGGATCGCCACGGGTTTTTAAATGATCACCTAAAACACTCTCGGCAAATGCGCTGAGTATTAGTGCGAGCGGGGTGTCCGGCCGCCCCCCGCCAGCCACCTCCACCCCCAGGTCAGCGGCCGCTCGCCCCCCATGATGCCTCCAGTCTCCAACAAGCAGGACCATGCACGGTGCAAGAACACAAACCTGGCACCCCTGGGATGCTGCCCCGGGGCTCAACGTTTGGGCTGGCGGCGGCATCGGGGGGATTTTTCACCTCTAGTTTCTAAAGGAAAAGTAAACGTGACCCCAAAGCAGGAGGCAAACAACCACAGACGAAAGTCAGGACCACTGCCCTGTGCGTCCATTCAATCATCACGACATGTTTCCGGACGCGGCTTCCACTGTGGCTGCCACATTCCTGGCACAAGACAGACCGTGTCCCCGCCCTCGAGGGGCAAGCGCTCCGGCGGGAGAGGTGGGTGATAAATATGTTACAGAGCGACAGGCGCACCGAACAGAAGGAACGCAGGGTGACAGAGGGGCCGCGGGGTGGGGACTGTTTTAAATAGGAGGTGGGGGGCACTTGGACAGAGACCTAACCAGCCACGCCTCTGTCTGGGAAACAGCAAGTGCCAGTGGAGAGCACGTGCAAAGGCCCTGAGGTAGAGGTGAGACTGACGTACTTCCGGGCAGCACAAGGACCAGTGTGGGAAAAGCTGAGTGAATGAGGCTGAACATGTGAGTAGAGAAGGCTGGACGGGCAGACAGGGACCAGGCCAATGGTTACTAACCTTGGGAACATGTTAACTTGGAACAGAAAAATACACACATTTTCATTTTTACCAACCTCAAACTGAAGTACTTAGAAACACAGTCAACAAACCACAGTAATTATAAACGGCGCCTGTGCCTTTGAAAAGAAAATCATAGCTGTTTGCACAACAAATTATGATTGTTGCAGCTTTCCCAAAATATCGTCTATGCTGATTGCTACTTCAAAATTACGTAGTTATTGGACCAGCTGCTCAAAATTGAGTGCACGGTTACATTTACTGCGCCACAAATTTACGTTTAATATTCTGACATGCATTTTAATTAACGGATTACCTTTGTAACCCTGAACATTTCTTTTTATTTTTTTAAATATTTGTTTATTTTGAGGGAGAGAGACAGTGCAAGTGGGGGAGATGCAGAGAGGGAGACACAGAATCGGAAGCAGCTCCAGGGTCTGAGCTGTCAGCACAGAGCCCGACACGGGGCTCAAACCCACAAGCTGTGAGATCATGACCCGAGCCGAAGTCGGCGGCTTAATCGACTGAGCCACCCAGGCGACCCCTGAGTATTTCTTTTAATGCTTTATGAACATTATTCCGAAATGGAATCCCCCAAGCTTTCCTGAGCTGCCTACAGGGTCTACGGCACAGAGAAGGGTCAGGAGCCTGGAGCAGACCCCCAGGCCACACGGGATACCCACAGCGAGGTCTGCAGCTCAGAGCTGAGCAGAGGAGGTTCTCCGGGAAGAGGCTCGCCCCCAACGCAGCCGGAGCTCCACCGAGCACGTGTGCAAGAACTTCTGAATGGAAAGAGCTGCCTGACATTTTTAATGCATCATCTTAATACATGGATCATTCTTAATAGGTTGAGTGCCGTGTGAAAAACCGACGTGGGTGGGGGGTGGAGAATGAAATCCTGATAACTTCCAGCCAGAGGGCAAAGAACAGATGTAAGAACACATCTTTCACTTTGAGAAAGTAACTTACACGCACAGAAAATGTGAACCCAGAACGACAGAAGAAAATAAAGATCAGGGGCGCCGGGGTGGCTCAGTCGGTTAAGCGTCTGCTCTCATGGCTCGTGGGGTCAAGCCCCACATCGGGCTCTCTGCTGTCAGTGCAGAGCCCGCTTCTGATCCTCTGTCTGTCTGTCTCTCTGCCTCTCCCCACTCACACTCTCACTCCTTCTCTCTCTACGGAAACATTTAAAGACATAAAAAAAGAAAGAAAAGTAAGATTAACCTTCGCAGCACCGCGTGCTAATGTTTTCTGTCCATCCCTTCTAGCCCTGGCAAATAATGAAGACGGAGCTGGGAAATGTTTTTTGTGACGTGCAGGGAGCAAATGTCACAAAAATGTCATGTTTGTGGGCCACATGGTCCCGGCTGCCCCCCTACAGCCCCAAACACCTGTGGACGGGATACCCACACTAGGTGTGACTGTGTGCTCATAACACCTTCCCCATGAACCCTGGAATTCCGCTTGATGTTTACACGTCATGTTACTCTTCACCTGCTTTTTCTTTTTTCAATTATTAAAAACATTAACACCATTTTCAGCCCAAGGACCAAGCAAAAACAGGTCAAGGACTGGATGTGGCCTGTGGGCCTGAGTCTGGCGATCACCATAATAAGCTATCAACTTTCACATGGCGGTTTTTACAACCATGTATTTTCTTTTCTTTCTTTCTTCTTTTCTTTTCTTTTTTTTTTTTTTGAGAGAGAGACAGAGAGAGTGGGAGAGGAATAGAGAGGGAGAGAAAAGAATCCCAAATAGGTTCTGAGTTGTCAGCGCAAAGCCCAACTCACGAACCATGAGATATCATGACCTGAGCTGAAATCAAGAGTTGGACGCTTAGGGGCGCCTGGGGGGCTTAGTCGGTTAAGCGTCCAACTTCAGCTCAAGTCATGATCTCACGGTTCATGGGTTTAAGCCCTGAGTCGGGCTCTGTGTTGACAGCTCAGGGCCTGGAGCTGCTTCGGATTCTGTGTCTCCCTCTCTCTCTGCCCCTCCCCTGCTCACGCTGTCTCCCTCTCTCTCTCTCTCTCAGAAATAAATAAAAACATTAAAAAACATTAAAAAAAAAAAAGTGTCACACTGATCAGTGTTCAGATCGATTCCGATTTTTACCAAGGGGCACGCGTAAGCTGGTCTCTGTGAGCCTGTCCTTGAAGGATACAAATCTCAAGGTCGAATTTGCCAGGGAAATGGTGCCATTCTTCTGCCACGTATTTCCAGTTATATGAGCTCAAATGCTACGCTTTCTAAATTCCCCTGCACGAACATGGAACTGAAGGAAGACCTTCTCTGATCGCAGATTCTGTCTTCCCTACACTGCACTTACTGGGTTCCCGGCAAGACCGGACTGCCCGCGTGCATATTCACTGGCCATTTGTCGTCTTCTGCTCTCAGGAACCACCGGCTTCTGCTCGGACTCCGTTTTCCTATTGGGCTGTTTACGGTCTTCCCGAACGGAACCCTCCAGCCAATTTCCCCAACTCCATTCGCGAGTTAATTCATCCCCCACCCCACCGGGGTCAAATCCCACCCTCACCAGAGAACCGCTGATCTAAACCTGTGCTGCGCGGTGAGGACTACGACGCTCTTCCAAAGTCCACACTGTCGGCTCCGTAAGGGCCAGCATCTGCCTCCTTACCCTTCTCCTTTTCAGAACGTTACTGGTTATTCTCGAACGACAGCTCTTCTACACGAACTTGAAGCTTCCCCAAGACCATATTCAGACCGCAGACGGCGTTCCCGCTAGACGTGTGAACCGGGGACATTCGCTTCCACGAGGTCGAGACTTTCTATCCAAAACCACAGCCTCGTCTCCCTTTCGCAGACCGTCTCTGATTTCTCCATGGCTGGGTCCTTCGTCCCCGTCCCCAAAAAGTCCCACCTGCTTTATAAACACACACCTGGATCCCAGACTGTCCTGTCTGTTCCCGTTCTGTTTGCGGGCTGTGTTTCCTGCTTGGCCAGCACTGCTGCACCAGGAAGCTGCTGCGCTGCGTAGAATTCTGCCGCAGCCTCCTCACTGCTCTGAGCACCTTTCCTAGCTAATCACAGAAGCTTTTCTGCCGGCTCCGGGTTCCCAGAAGACGTACTGATGCTCCCCTGCCCAATTATCCCGTCAGCCGCACTGACCGCTCTTATGGAAAAGAGTTCGAGGACAGGGAAGGTGCGGCGGCAGCTCATGCTTGTTGTCATGGGGGGTCACTCACATCTTCACCTCTAAAGCCATAGGTGCCGGTACTGATCGTGCTAAGCAAAAGCGCCTGTTGCTTAGAGCCGTTACCAGGAATGGCCGCCAAGTGCTTAACGTCTTTGTAGTATGTGTCGAGGGGACTGTCTGGCTTCTCTGATCCAAGAACACGCTTCAATCTATTACCGGACTTGCTAATATCGATCCATCCCCTCGTTGCTGGGACCACGAGCTGCTGCAGGTGACTGTATGTTTCCGACACACGTAGATTCTATTTGCTACGATCTTATTTAGGTTTTTTTGCATTTCTAGTCATGAGCAACATTGGTCCTTTCTGCATCCATCAAAATCAGACTCGGGTTTCGGAACCAGCCTGCCCGGGTCCACGTTCAGCCGCGCCGCTGTGAGCTGAGATGTCAGGCAAGGTAGCTCAGCTCCTCGTGGGCGAGGCAGAGATGACAAAGGCCCTGCCCGGGAATCAACCAGCTCCTCCCTTCCTGAAAGCCCCGGAACTTGTCAGAGTCCCGCAGCTGCTTCTAAGCTGGTTCACGTTAGCTCTCTGACTCCTGACTCTCTTAAATGTGGATTTAATTTTGACAGAGTGAGCAGGTGTGGGGGGAAGGTGCAGAAAGGCGGGGAGACGGGTTCTGAAGCAGGCTCTGTGCTGATAGCAGAGAGCCCGATGCGGGGCTCGGACTCACAAACTGTGAGATCACAAGATCGTGACCTGAGCCGAAGTCGGACGCTAAGCCGACTGAGCCACCCAGGTGCCCCATCAACTTTTCCTGGTGGGTACTGACCCCTCCCAGCTTCTTACCTCGTCTTGGGTCAGCTTTACTAATTGCTGTTGCTTCAGAAAATAATTAGTTCATCAAGTTACTTCCAAATGGATTACAACAGAACCTGGAGTTTTCTTAAAAAAACCTCTGTGTTTGAAATGTGATCAGCCTAACAGTGAGTGTTTATGTGCAAGGTGTGTTCATCAATTTAAAAATATCAAGCTTATTAATTCTAAGATCCAACTCCTGAATCCAGTTATTATACCTTTCAGTCACTCACTGCATCAGACAGACAGCTCAGCTCCTACAACTACTGTGCTTCTGTCCCACTGCTTTGGGCGAGTACGTTAGTTATTTGGCAAAAGAAATCTTCATGATTTGACCATCTCTGTTAAGAACTACATGGGGCGCCTGGGTGGCTTAGTGGGTTAAGCGTCTGACTTTCGCTTAGGTCATGATCTCGCGGATCGTGGGTTCGAGCCCCGCGTCGGGCTCTGTGCTGACTGCCAGCTCAGAGCCTGGAGCCTGTTTCAGTCTGTGACTCCCTCTCTCTCTGACCCTCCCCTGCTCACGCTGTCTCTCTCTCTCTCCTAGAACTAAATTAAAAAAAAAAAAAAAAAAGAACTACAGTAGATTTGGGGCGCCTGGAGGGCTCAGTCAGTTAAGCGTCCGACTTCGGCTCAGGTCATGATCTCGCGGTTTGTGAGTTCGAGCCCCGCGTCGGGCTCTGTGCTGACAGCTTAGAGCCTGGACCCTGCTTCAGATTCTGTGTCTCCCTCTCTCTCTGACCCTCCCCTGCTCACACTCTGTCTCCATCTCTCTCTCAAAAATAAACAAACATTAAAAATAAATACAGTCTTGGCCTATCTGGTCTTGTTTACCTGAGGGTGGCATTACCTCTTGCTGCCCTGCGTCTGTTTCTTTTCCTGACTTTACCACCCGAGAGGCGGCTCTGCCCCACGTGCCTTCTGTCCGTGGCAGAGACCCTGAACTGAGACACGCAGGCAAGACCCAGCAGGCTGTGTTCGGCGCCCACGAACGCCCCCGGAACAGGTGTGCGGGCTCCCTGACCCGCGGGGCCCACGGCCCCAGGCAGTAGGCATCCAGGACCCCAGAGGGCTCACGACGAAGTCCCACTCGTACCTTGTAATGCGCCAGCTGGAGCGCCAGCTGCACAAAGGCGTCCGGGCTCGTGCGGCACTTCTTGATGAGGCCTTTGCCGAAGGTGTGGAACGGGAAGGAACAGAAATCCACGTCCTCCGCCAGAAGGCTTGCGCTGCTCAGGGACGTCTCTATCACCTCCTGACACTTGAGGGAAAGAGAGACAGGTTTTACTTAATGGGGGAGGGCGGAGGGGTCACCCACGCGCCCTGACGAAGCCGCAGGGTTGGTTTCTTTCCTCGGCTCTTTCCCGAGTGTCACCCAGGAGCCACGGCTCGTTAGCGACACGACAACCGCGTGCCGACGAGGGTGCAGGGGCCCGGCAGGAGGGACGCTGGGGCTTCCTGGTCTGAGTGGGACCCCAAAAGCCACGTCGAGCAGCCCACGTTTTGTTCTGTGAAACCCATCGTGGCAAACAGGAAACCAATTTAAAAAAGTAAACAAGTGCGGTACAACCACACGGCACAAACGAGCGACCGGGCCACGGACAACACGGAGGAACCGCAGGCGCCTGCTTTACCGAGTGAAGAAGCCCGTCGGAAAAGCCCACGGCCGACAGGATTCCACGAACCGGGCATTGTGGACAAGGCAAAACGTGGAGACCGTGCGACGATCCGTGGTCGCCGGGGGCTTGGGGGGCCGGTGGGGAGAGGGGATGAACAGGCAGAGCACAGGTTTGGGGGCAGCGAAACGACCCCGGGGGGCGCTGTGCCAGCGGGTACAGGTAGCTGCGCATCCATCTCGCTGTGCAGAACGCACGGCACTGAGAGCGAGCCCCCCAGGTCGACGCCGGGCTCTGGGGACGGCGACACGTGGGTGCAGGTTCACGGGCCGTGACGGGCACACCGCCCCGTGGGGACGAGGGTCGTGGGGAGGCTGCAGACGTGCGCGGTCGCGGAAGGGAGACAGGCGGGATCTCAACGGACTCTTCTCATTTTTACTGTGACACTAAAAAGGCTCTAAGAAGTTAAATACATAGAAAAATTTTAAATAAACGGCAACTGGCTTGGGCGGGTACCAGGACCCCAAGCCCATGCGCTTCGGCAGAGGCCGTCCCTCTCCGGGGAGCACACAGCAGCCCCGGGGACACAAATGGGTAGGACCACAGCACCAGGCGTGGCGTTTCTGCTTTGGGAATGAGGTCTTGAGCCCCAGGAACTCTGCTTGGATTAGAGGAACTGGAAGGTGGTATTTCCACCCCTCAAATGCCTGCCCTCCAAAAGCTTCCTTCTATCAAGTGGACTGCATCGGAGAATAAGACACAAAAATCGTAAATGAGCGATTCAGAGTATTTCAACTCTGGAGGAAGGGACTTAGTTTCCCCTCTTTCACCAGGACGTCTGGCTCAGTCTGAGCTGGAAACGTCACCGACAATCTCAGCCGAAACCTCAAGCGGAAAAGCTACTTGGCGGGAGGGCAGGAGCCGCGGCAGCCCGCGGCCCCGTGAGAACCCCGCACGGACAAGCTGTGTCCGTGGTCTTCACCTCGGCTGATGCACAGCCTCCAAGTATGCGTGGACTGTGGGGCTGAGTGTAAGTTCGTCCCCCACCCCGGGCGACGGAGCATTCAGACTCACTTCCTCTGGAATGTCCCACTGCAGCCGGGTGGGGTACGGAATGTTTGGGTTGGGGTCGCCCTTGCAGTGCCCATCCTCTGTGTAGCCCAGCTGAAAGGAGTCAGTGGCCAGGACGTACTGTCACAAAGGAAAAGATACACACGTCAAGTCAGAAGGTTACCGCAGTCAATGGCGTTACGTGAAACGAATTTGAAATGACCTCTGGCAGAGACAGATTCTTGCCCTTTACAGAGATATGATGAAGACATAACACGAGCTACTCCCGGGGTGGGCGGCCAGTAGGCTGAGCTCTTCCCACCCTCTGCACAGCCACCTAATGCATCCATTCTTTTTTAAAGAAAAATTTTTTAACATTATTGAGAAACAGAGACAGAGCATAAGCAGGGGAGGGGCAGAGAGAAGGTGAGACACAGAATCCGAAGCAGCTCCAGGCTCTGAGCCATCAGCACAGAGCCCGACGCGGGGCTCGAACCCACGAACCGTGAGATCATGACCTAAGCCGAAGTCGGACGCTCAACCGACTGAGCCACCCAGGCGCCCCATAATGCACCCATTCTTATCTCCACTTCAGAGGGGAGAAAAACGGATCCAGGGAGGCTCAGCAGCTTGCAGGCTGGTCAGGAACACAGCCAGGAGTTCAAGCCCCATGTTGGGTGCAGGGATTACCTAAAAATAAAATCTTTATGGGACACCTGGGGGCTCAGTTGGGTGAGCGTCAGACTCTTGATCTCAGCTCAGGTCTTGATTTCAGGGTCATGAGTTCAAGCCCCCCGCTGGAGCTAACTTAAAAAATAATAACCATAGGGGCGCCTGGGTGGCTTAGTCGGTTAAGCGTCCGACTTTCGCTTAGGTCATGATCTCGCGGTTCGTGGGTTCGAGCCCCGCGTCGGGCTCTGTGCTGACTGCCAGCTCAGAGCCTGGAGCCTGTTTCAGTCTGTGACTCCCTCTCTCTCTGACCCTCCCCTGCTCACGCTGTCTCTCTCTCTCTCTCCTAGAAATAAATTTTAAAAAATATAAAAAAAAAAAATAATAATAATAACCATAACCCGCTCTGGAAAACAGTGTAGAGGTTCCTCTAAAAATTAAAAATAGAACTACCCTAAGACCTAGCAACTGTGCTACTAGGTATTTTTCCAAAGGATACAAGTGTGCAGTTTCGAATTCGAAGGGGCATGTGCATCTCAATTTTATAGCAGACAACAGGGTATGGAAAGAGCCCAAATGTCCATCAACCAATGAATGGATAAAGATAGGGCATTTATTCACAATGAAATATTACTTGGCAGTCAAAAAGAATGAAATCTTGCCATTTGCAACAACATGGATGGAACTAGAGTGTATTATGCTAAGCAAAACAGGTCAGAAAAAAATAAATATATGATTTCACTCCTATGTGGAATCTGAGAAGCAAAACAGATGAGCACAGGTAAGAGAAGCAAAAATAATATAAAAATAGGGAGGGTACATAAGGCAAAACAAAGAGACTCTTAAACACAGAGAACAAGCTGAGGGTTGCTGGAGGGGTCGGAGCTGGCAGGTGGGCTGACAGGTGGGGGGCAGTAAGGAGGGCACTTGCAGGGAGGGGCATTGGGTGCTCTATGCAGGGGATGAACCCCTGGATTCTACTCCTAAAATCATTACTGCACTCTATGCTAACTAACTTGGATGTAAACTGTTAAAAAATTAAAATTAAAAAAGATCATCATAAAATAAAATCTTAAAAAGGAAAAAAGACGACAAGTTGGAGTCTGTTTCTAAGAAATGGCCAGAACAGGGAAAGTGACAGAGACAGAAAGTAGATCTGTGGTCGCCAGGGAACGGGGGGCAGGGGAAGGGGTGATGAAAATGCCCTAAAATTAGATAATGATGATGCGTCAACAACCATTTTGTAAACACACAAAACCCAGCGTATTGAAGAAGGTAAATTTTATAGGACGCGAATTATCTCTCCATAAACGATAATAAAAACATTCCTTTAAAGGGGAATCCCAGCACTCAGGGAGCTCCCTAGTGGGGGGCGCAAATACCAAACCAACAAAAAACACAAGCCAAGTCCAGCGGGTGGCCGGGTCAGGGACTCCGCGTGGGGGCCCGTGGAGGTGGCCACACGCACGTGGCGCCGGCGTCCATGCATATCTGAGGGAGGGAAGGGGCTGGCCCACTTGTGTCTGAGCCGCTCTGTGTCAAAGCCCCCAAAGAGCCCAACTCAATGGAATTCCAGAAATTCAGTGGACAGCAAAGAGGATTCAACTCTGACCTGGTTTGTTCTTAACTGGCTTGGCACGGGCAGACCAGCTCTCGTTTTAATTTGGCCTTGGCCTCCATGACGAGAGAGCAGGTTAGTTCCCGTCCATGCAGGGGGCCCCAGGCCCCCCATCCAGTCCCTCGACCCACAGGCCATTGTGTCAGCACTTTCTACAAGGGCGTCAGGGGGGCTCAGTCACTGAAGTGTCCAACTTCGGCTCAGGTCATGATCTCACGGTTCATGGGTTCAGGCCCTGCGTCGGGCTCTGTGCTGACAGCTCGGAGCCTGGAGCTGCTTCCAATTCTGTGTCTCCCTCTCTTTGCCCCTCCCCATTCACTCTCTGTGTCTCTCTCTCTCTCTCTCTCTCCCTCCCTCTCTCCCTCTCTCTCTCCCCTCCCCCCCCCAAAAATAAACATTAAAGGGGTGCCTGGGTGGCTCAGTCGGTTAAGTGTCTGACTTCGTCTTGGGTCATGATCTCGTGGTCCGTGAGTTCAAGCCCCGTGTCGAGCTCTATGCTGACAGCTCAGTTTGGAACCTGCTTCAGATTCTGTGTCTCCCTCTCTCTCTGCTCCTCCCCCACTCACTCTCTACTTCCCTCTCTCTCAAGAACAAACACTAAATATTTTTAAAAATAAACATTAAAAAATTTTTTTTAATTATTGAAAAACCAACAAACAAACAAAGAACTGGGTCACGCGTGAAGACGCCTTCACAAGTTTACTACGTTACAACTTCAGGTACACAACCGAGCCCCGTGCCCTGTGAAGGGCAGTGAGGTCATCAGCCTGCGGTCACGCGTCTCTCACGGGTGCAGGGACTTCAGGGTCACTTAGTCCGCCCCATTCACTAGAGCAGCAGCAAAGGAAGGACATGGCAGACAACAGTCCGAGCACTCAGTGTGAGTTTGTTTCAATGGGCCCTGTTGCTTTAACAAAAAGCTCCCAAACCAAGATAATCTAGAAGTTCTGGATCAATGCTGCTGTTGACAATCCTAGAGTTTAGCAATGTCTTTAAACAAAAACCATGACAGATGAGTTACGTAAGCAAAACCTTCCTTGGGGGCCCCAGGGTGGCTCAGTTGGTTAAGCGATGACTCTTCATCTCTGCTCAAGTCACGATCCCACGGTTCGCTAACGGCATGGAGCCTGCCTAGGATTCTGTGTCTCCCTCTCTCTCTCTGTCCTCCTCTGCTTGTGCTCTCTCTCTCTCTCAAAATAAATAAGTAAACTTTAAAAAGAGTCATTAAAAAAATGAAAGAAAGCTAAACCTCCCTTCACGGTTCATGCCAACCATGAAAACAGTTCAAATGGTGGAGGGAGAAATGAATTTATTTAAATTTGAAAAAGTGGCAAGGCCAACCCAACACTGCATTTTATTTTGTTATTTTTTTAAATATTTTATTTACTTTTGAGAGAGAGAGACAGAGAGCAAGCAGCGGAGGGGCAGAGAGAGAGGGAGACGCAGAATCCGAAGCAGCTCCAGGCTCTGAGCTGTCAGCACAGAGCCCAACGCGGGGCTCGAACCCACGAACTGTGAGATCATGACCTGAGCCAAAACCGAGACTGAGCCACCCGGGAGCCCCGTTAAACGAGTTTCTATCTAAGGAACCTGAGCTGAAGGAGATGAAAACACGAAGGGCTTTTGTTGGGCAACTGAACGGGGCCTGCAAGTGCCCACACCTGTTACGAAGCATTGAATCATCAGACAAAAACCACACAATAAAATGCAGCCTGGGCTTCGGATCTGCAGCCAAGGCCACATTCCAGCCGCGAGCACTCACCTCCCAAAGGTGTGCAATGATGGGCGCGTCGGCCCAGGAGTGCTCCGCATTCATGCCCACCTTCCCGTTTTTGAAGACGATGAATGTGAAAGACTTGTCGAACCACCTGTGGGAAACAAAAATTATATACTTGTTGTATTCTGGATGGGCTCCTCGGCCCCCGCCCCCACCCCCGGACAAGCTGGCCCCCGGTCCTGAACCTCTGGGGACTGATGATAAGAGAACACATTGGACTCTGAGGTCACTCACTTCTCTGTATTAGACACAGAGATAAGCATCTGCGTGCCGGAGCCGGCAGACTAGAATATGGTATTTCAGTGTGAAAGAGCCCACGAGGCGATTGCAAAAGACGGGAGGCCACAGGCCCGCCTGCCCCCGTCCTGGGCTGAACCTCATCCCCACCGGCGGGGCAGACAGGACCTCACTGCACACACAAGGGGAAGGAGGCTCGGAGATCAGCGAGCACAGAAGTGCAGGTCAGCCCCGTCCCCCTCCTCCCCCTGCCTGGCCCCAGGCACCGGCAGTCATGCCTGTCACCACCACCATCGTGGGTGGTCATGCACAGAAGGCGAAGAATGTCAAGTCTGCTGCTTAAGCCATGCATGCGCGTGGAAAGAAGAAAGTCAAGAGTCGTGGCTTAAGTTTATTTTTGAAAGAGAGACAGAGAGAATGAGTAGGGGAGGCGTGGAGAGAAAGGCAGAGACAGAACCCCAAGCAGGCTCTGAGCTGTCAGTGCAGAACCTGACACGGGGCTCGAACCCACAAACCGTGAGATCCTGACCCGAGTCGAAATCGAGAGTCGGACGCTTAAGGACTGAGCCCCCCGGCACCCCTTATGAGTTGAGTTTTACGTGGGCCTCCTCCCTAAAGAGGGGAGAGCCTGGAGGCTGGGTGCCAGCCACGTGTGACGTCGCTTCCACGCTCACTACTTCCACGGAAACTAGCGTCGTCCAGGAGGGAAGCCCGTGCATTACCTGTCACAGCACCTGCCATGCAGGAGGGACTTGGCGTAGCTGTCCATCGATGCCTCCGGGTCTTCCTGTCTATACCCTTGCTCGGTCTCATCCAGCGTCACGAAGAACGCGGCCTTCTCCACGGCGTCCAGAGACTGCTTATTTTTCCCGCGTCCAAAATAGGCCTGGCGACACTTGGCCCAGGGGACCCTGAAAGAACAGTCAGGGTTTAAGGCTGTAGCAACCTGGTGCCATCTCCTGACCTGTGACCTTCAAAATGACAGCGTTTCTCAGTTTGCTAGGAACGGAAGGGGCCTCGCGCACTTTGGACTCTGCGGGAACCGAGTGCCCACAGGTGGCTGTGTGGTTTGCGGGCAGGCGCCGAGCACGAGGCGTGGCGCATACCTGTCCGCCCACTGCCGGATGTGCGACCAGAACGCAGGCCGGCCTCTGGGTTCGCCTACCTCGGGGCAGGGACGCCGAGAAAGTGCTCCTCGCACCCGCGCCGGGGTGCCCACCCCGAGCAGCTCTGGCGAGGAAATCACAGCAAGTGCGTGGCCACCACCTCCTCCCTGTCGACGCTGCCATTCCCACCTTTCAGAGGGGGAAACTGAGGCAGAGATGTGGTCACAGCTACTCTGTGGCAACAAGAGCTTCAAACCCAGGCTGTCTTGCCGAAGTCCATGTTACTAAGGGCCACGGGACCCCCCCCCCCAAGGACAGGGGCACCCATGGCAGTGTCTCACGGAAGTTACATCGAGCTGATGGGACACCCACTCCCTGCGAGGCACCCAGCTGTGGCTGCTCTGCTTGCACCCAGGCCTCACTCAGACCCTCCTCGGGTCCGTCACCCCCCACGCTTCCAGACCAGGGTCATGAGGCCCATCTTCCGACCTCTTCTCTCCCCGAGCCCCCTCCCAAGGCTGCAATGGTCCCGACACGCGCCGGCCCACACCAGTGACGCCCAGGAGGGCCATTCTGCACTTGGTGCTGCGTGAGGGGCAGGAAGGGGACATGCCACCATACACGCCCGGCGTCTACGCCAGGGGCTCGGGGAGGTGAGACGGGGGAGCATCAGGGCTGGGTGCCCACTGAGCCCCGTGAGGGTGGGTGGTCCCGGGCAAGCCCACTCCTCAGAAGCACCTCCGTCCACCGTCCGGCCCAGTGACGCTCACAAGCACCTGGGAGGGAGCTCATTCCCCAGGACGCACTGTCCACCGCTGTTCCTGGCAGCCCTGAAGCCCAAGGATGGCCCAACACCCCCGGGCTTCTGGGACCGAAGCCCACCGCTCAGGCTGCCTGTCCCAGACTCCACTGTCGCCGGGGCCCCTGGACCAGGATGATCTCGTAAGCGTGCCTGGGGTGCCTGGGGTCCCCTTTAACAACCAAATCAAGCCCAAATGTAGTTGGGTGCAGAGAACTCTCTCTGCCTTGTGTTCCGGGGTCTCAGACCCCTTGGCAGCTTCCTATGGGGTGGATTGTGCAGTCCGCTCCCTGGATGCCCTGCCGCTTGTCGGGCCCGCTGTCCCCCTCTGCGCGCCTGGGCACTTCCCTTTTCTCACCATTTTGCTGCCCTAATGGCTGTCACGTTGCTGTCAGCCGGTGCTGCTCAACCGGAGACAATACTGCCCCCTGGTGACAGCGAGCAAAGTCCGGGCAGTTTCGTTTATCACAACTAAGCAGTTGCTACTGGTGTTGGGGGGCGGGGGGGGGGGTGCGGCTTGACACCCTCCATGCCCAGGCCCAGCGGCCCCCCCAAGGCACAGGCTCTCCAGCCCAGAGTGTGCAGAGCCAAGGCTGAGACGCTGGGCGCCGTCTGCAAGCTAACTCCCTGAGTGAACACACACGGCAGGAAATCTATCTCCGACGCGGGGGCCTTGGTTTAAACTTGTTCCGTGTCCTGAGTTAAATACGCCCGCAGCCCGCCAGGTGTCCTGGTGCCCGTGCACACCCACCTGCACACACGCATACACATGCACACGCACACAAACCCACACATGCACACGCACACACAGCCACGGGGACCCGCCAGCGGGGATGGACAAAGACTCTAGGCTCACGCCCTGCTCCCGCTGCCAAGCTCAAGTCGCCCACGGGCCCCATCCTCCGGCTAAGCCCCAGGGAGGGGAGAGGACCGCAAGGCGCCCCCGCAGCGCCCGGGCGGGCCTGAGCGGGGTCGCAGGGGAGCGCGCACCTGTCTCCCGCGGTGAGGGCCGCCAGGTTCGCCTCCCCGGGCTGGGGCTCCGACGGGTCGTCCAGAATCCTCTGCATCTGCTGCTCGATCTCCCGCGGCTTCAGCAGCCGTCCGTCGTGGTAGAGCCAGACCTTGAAGTAACGGCCTTTGTGGAAGACGACGATGTGCCTGCTGTCCCTGATGTGCTGGATGGTGTCTGAGGCGGGACGCGGGACGGGGACACAAGACCCGGACACACGAGGTCGGCGGCAGACGAGAAAGGCACCCCACCCCCCACTTCCCGGTGGCCCGGACCCCTCACCCCATGTCCCCCCACTCGGCTCATCTGTCTATTTCCTGAGAGTCCGTACAGCACCAGAGTGCAGAGAGCCCAGGATCAGGGGGTGACTGGCCCGGCTGCTCCCTCAGACACTCAGTGGACGCACCAGCGACTCAAGACAGAGGAGGGGTTTCTGCCACAAAACCACGGCACATGTGCAGCCTTTACTTCAAAGTCAGAAATAAGAAGGGGGCGCCTGGGGGGCTCGGTCGGTTAAGCGTCCGACTTGGGCTCAGGTCATGATCTCACAGATCATGGGTTCAAGCCCTGCATCGGGCTCTGTGCTGACACCTCGGAGCCTGCAGCCTGTTTTGGATTCTGTGTCTCCCTCTCTCTCTCTGCCCCTCCCCTGCTCGTGCTCTGTGTGAGCTCACACTCTCTCAAAAATAAATAGACATTAAAGAGATAATTATGTTAAAACATGGTGATTAAGACGGAGCTTAATCCTACATGACTGGGGCGCTTGCAGGGAGAGATCAGGACACAGACACACTCAGAGGGACCACACACAAGGAGCGAGGCCTCGGGAGGGCCGGGCCCTGCCCACGCCTGCACCCCCAGCCTCCAGCCTCCAGGACCAGGAAGCAGTGAATGTGTGTTTAAGCTGCACAGTCTGTGGTGTTTTGTGACCACGGCCCTAGAAACTAATATACTCCGTAACCAACACCTCAAATATACACTTAAAACAACAAAAACAATAAAGGACTCAGAAATAACCAGCAGACGACACCTGAGACCCTGGCGGAGAGAAGTACAGCAGCCCCCCCTTACCCAAGACACCCCAGTGGAGCCGGAAGCCGCGGGGCACACTGAACTCTAAACACACTACCGGTCTCTATTTACACAACTACAACCCCATATTTACACACCTATGATCCCATACTTACACACCTACGATCCCATATTTACACACCTACGATCACGGTAAAGTCTGATTCATGAACAAGACACAGTAGGAAGTTAACAATGACCGATAACAAAACAGGACAAAGGTGATGTACGCTCACAAAGCGTACGTGAACGTGGTCTCCCTCTCTCCCTCCATCTCTCTCTCCCTCAGAATATCCTGTCTTCACCCTTCTCCTCGCGATGACGGGAGAAGGTAAAATGACGTGAGGTGAGTGGGAAGGTGTGACACGGGGTTAGGGTGATGTCCCAGAGGACCCTCTGCTTCTGCGCCGCGGCCAGCTGCGGATAACTGAGACCAGGGAACGCAACACCGCGGATAAGAGGGAGCAAAACCACATGATGCTTCGTTACAATCACTTTTACAAACACTATTAGGGGTAACTGTTTCAAAATGGCTTTTTGCCGGCTTGGCTGCTTTTCACATAAGTCTGGCCACAGGCCACGGGAGTCCAGAGTGTGGGAGAGACAAGGGCTGACTTTTTAGCCAGAAAGACCGCACGCCGGTGGGGGAGGAGGGGCGGGGGGGGTGCACAGCATGTGTGCTGCTGGAGTGACGTTTCAGAGAAAGCTCTGAATCCCGGGTCCCGGGAAAGCTGAGCCCAGACAGAAGCCCAGCCAGAGGGGGTCGAGGACCCCCATGCCCAGCACCATGGGACAGGTTACTGCCCAGGGCCCACGGTCTGGAAGTACCCGGCTGTCACGGATCAGCTTGGGACCTGATAAACTACCAGCTTCAAAAGCGGCAATGGGTTCATTAGCATGGCCATGAGGTCTCAGACAGGGTCAGGTTCGTCAGGTGAGAGTGACAGGAATTTCCCCCCCGCACGGCCACCAGGGGCTCAGGGGCAGCAGGGTCTGAGCCCTGGCTGGTCTGGGATGGTCCCCAGTGATGCCACGTCTCCCTTCCATTCTCAAGGGTGTCCCGGCTTGGACAGGTTCTGTGGCCGCCCCACCCCCCAGGACGGTGGTGGAGTGGGTGGGGGTCCCAGGCCAGGCTGCTCCGAGTGAGCACAAGGCCGCGTGCATCGCTCGTGACCCAGAGCAGGACCCCCCACCCCGGGGGGCCAGATGAAGAGGACAGTCCCACCCACACCTAGAGCAAGCTCCCAGTAAGGCCGCCTTCAGCCGAGGAGAAACGCAAGTCTGAGGACAAGTCACACGTCCAGTCAACAGAAGGAAAGTCCCTGAGCCCGAAGCCTCACAACCGCAGGAGGGGTCGGCACGGGTCGCTGCACTGCCGTCCCCCCACCTCCGGACAGAACGAGAGTGCTGCTTCCGCGAGAGCCCCACTCACCCGTCTCCTCTCCCGGGATCCGCGAAGTGTTGAACATCCGCTCCCACTGCGCGGAGCACAGCGGGACTGTGGACCCCAGCAGCAGAATCTGCAACAAAAACGGGTTTCAAACAAATAAGAATTCCATGGGGAGGGGAGGCGGGAGAAGGAGCAAATTAAATCCTGAATTTGTGGGGCACACGGCAGGCTCAGTGGGAAGGGCTGTGCAACTCCTGACCTCGGGGTTGTGAGCTCGAGCCCCATGCTGGGGGCAGAGATTACATAAAAGACTTAAAAAAAAGAAAATCTTAAGGGGCGCCTGGAGGGCTCAGTCAGTTAAGCGTCCGACTTTCATCTCCGGTCATGATCTTGTGGTTCGTGAGTTTGAGCCCCACGTCGGGCTCTGTGCTGACAGCTCAGAGCCTGGAGCTGCTTCAGCTTCTGTGTCTCCCTCTCTCTCGGCCCCTCCCCTGCTCACGCTCTCTCTCCCTCTCTCAAAAATAAACATTAAAATTTTTTTTTAAAAAACAAAGAAAATCTTTAAATGCTGGATTTGTTTTCCAAGCACATAGGACGTTTGACTTAATCTCTTGCAAACTCTGTAAAGAGCAGCCACTCTCTGGGATGCTGACCTTCACCGACCTTCACCACAAGGCTTGCTGGACTGCCCCAGGGCTTCTGGCACCTTCCTTCCCAAGTAACACGTTCTAATCGGTCATTTATAAACTGACACTTCAACCAAAGGTGTATTTAAGAAAGACATGTCGGGGGGGCACCTAGGTGGCTTGGTCGGTTGATTGTCCTACTTTGACTCAGGTGATGACTCATGGTTGGTGAGTTCCAGCCCCGCATCAAGCTCTTTGATGTCAGCACGGAGCCTGCTTGGGATTCTCTGTCTTCCTCTCTCTCTGCCCCTCCCCCACTTGTGCTCTATCTCTGTCTCTCTCAAAATAAATAAATGTAAAAAGGAAGGAAGGGGGGAAGGGAAGGGAAGGATGGGGCACCTGGTCGGCCCACACTTAAGTGTCCGACCCTCGCTCTCAGCTCAGGTCTTGTTCTCAGGGTCTTGAGTTCAAGCTGCTGCATTGGGCTCCCTTCCCTGCGGGACCCTGTAGAAGGAAGGAATGTCTTGCTCCTCTTGACTAATACACCAGCTACACTGATTTCCTCTGAAAGTAAACACGAGTTTCTTCCAGGGGCTGGCTGATTACAGGACTAAAGGAACAGACGTATAAAAATCCATTTAGGAAACACGCGGAGAATCAAGTCTCAAAATAACTATAGAGAGTGCAAGAAAAGTGAGAGACAGAGATAGAGCACAATCTCTGTCTCTGTGTGCTCTCTCTAGAGCACTGTGTGATTCCATTTGCACAAAGATTTGGAAAATACAAGCAATCTAAAGTGACAGGAGGCAGATGGCGGTTACCTGGCAGGTGACAGAGAGGCTCAGCGAGAGCACAGGCCCCCAGGGGAAGTCTGGGGGTGACAGCTTCAGGGGTACATTATATATAAACATATCAGCACGCATCCAACTGTATGCCTCACGCAAGTGCACCACATCACAAAGCCGCTTAAAAACAAATTTTTAGGGGCGTCCAGGGAGGGTGCTCAGTCGGTTTAGCGTCTGACTTCGGCTCAGATCATAGTCTCATGGTTTGTGGGTTCAAGCCCCATGTCGGGCTCTGCTGACAGCTCAGCACCTGGAGCTGCTTCAGATTCTGTGTCTCCCTCTCTCTCTGCCCCTCCCCTGCTCATGCTGCCTCTCTTTAAAAAATAAACAGTAAAAAAAAATGTTCTTTTAAGAATGGCTCAGTCTTGGGGCGTCTGGGTGGCTTAGTCAGTTAAGCGTCCGACTTTCACTTAGGTCATGATCTCACGGATCGTGGGTTCGAGCCCCGCGTCGGGCTCTGTGCTGACTGCCAGCTCAGAGCCTGGAGCCTGTTTCAGCCTGTGACTCCCTCTCTCTCTGACCCTCCCCTGCTCAAGCTGTCTCTCTCTCTCTCTCTCCTAGAAATAAATAAAACATATAAAAAAATTAAAAAAAAAAAAAAAGAATGGCTCAGTCTGTTGAGCCTCCGACTCTTGATTTCAGCGCAGGTCATGAACTCACAGTTTGTGAGATTGAGCTGTGCTGACAGCTCAGGGCCTGGGGCTGCTTCGGATTCTCTCTGTCCCTCCCCAGCGAGCGCACACGCTTTCTCTCTCAAAATAAAAATAAACATAAAAAAAAGAAAAAGAAAAGAGATTCTTAGAGTGCAGTCTGCCCGCATACCGGCTTGATCTCCTCCCTGTCCAGTTTCCACCTGTAGAGCAGGATGGCGTGGATGGCGTTGCCTGCTCTCGCCGCCTGCATCTGCGTCGGTAACACGTACAGCAAGTCCTGGAAAGGCGAACGCGTGTCGGCACAGAGCGCGTGGGAGACGGCAGACTCGCGCGCCCGCGAGGGCATCTGCACACGGACAGAACTCTCCCACGCCTGCGCAGTCCCACCTGCTCTGAGAAAATAAACTGAGACTCTGCTTCCTACGCTTGGCCACTTTTACTTTACATTCCACGGGAAAACCAAAGGAAAGGGTGGGACAGGGAGAAAGGCGAAGAATGAGGTTGGCCAGGTATTACAGGTAGTTAAGGCCAGTTCTCGAAACCCACTGTGGGGAGGGGCTTCTCACAAAAGACGGCAGGTACCTTCCCAGGCCGACAATGTCTCAGAAGACAAGAAGAAACCCCCGCGAGACCTGGAAATGACACACGGCACTCGGTCTCCGGGCGCCTTAGGCAGCGAGGAAGGAAGGCGGGCTCCTGGCCAGCGGGTCACTAAGCGCAGCAGGCGGGCGGGGACACGGGCCCTCGGGCCACTACGGCACACACACCCTGATGCCCAGGGGTGACAGCAGGGGAGGGCGCGGGCCCGAGAGCATCTCTGCCGTCCCGATTTCTCCGCGGGGCCTCGGGCCAAACACAGAGCCGTGACGCAGCTTTGGGGCGTGGAGAGCAGGCGGCGGGCGCGGCCGGAAGCCCAGGGCCAGCGGGACTGGGGCCTCCCGGGCACTCACCATGGCGTAGTAGTTGCTGTTCACCATCAGCGGCCCCCGTCCCCGCAGGTAGATGTACTCTTCCCACCAGTCGCTCACCTGCGGGCGCAGACGGGACAGACCACTGGTGAGCTGAGCAGGGGTGACACAGGCTGGCGGGCCCCCAGGGTGCTCTGGCCACACTGCTCTGTGTCGAAGTGTGTGTGCACGCGTGTGTGTGCATGCGGGAGCCTCAGTGCCTGTGTGAGCTGCACACCCTCGTGGCCAGCGCCTGATCAAAACAGAACGCGACCCTCCGCCCCGCCCCTGCCCGCCAGCCCCTACTCCCAGCCTCGCTGTCTGATCTGCCTGGTGACAGTTACTGCCTCCTCCTCCTCCACACCCCACCTCGGGTCGCCCACCTCGGGGCTCACACGGGAAAGCCTGGCTGGTGTGTTTCCGTACGAGAAAATTCCCATCAGGAAGAACGGCGTGCATGCACACTTACGTAATTTGTCGCCCACCAGGATTTTAACTTCAGATACCACTGCAGTCTGGGTCCCAGACTGACGGCAAAATCTTGTGCGAGGACCGTCATCCGTTTAAAGTCGGATTCCTTCATAAGCGGCTTCACCGATTCCAGGTACTACAGTTAACGAAAAGCACGCGAGCCAAGTTAAAATGCACAGGCCCCTTATCTGGGCCTTACAAAAAACTGTAAACAGATTTAAAAGATTCAAGAATCTTCCCCAAGTGGGACGCCCAGCTGGCGCAAGCAGTAGAGCGTGTGGCTCTTGAGCTCGGGGTTGTGAGTTCGAGCCCCGTTGCTGGGTGCAGAGATTAAAAATAAAATCTTGGGGAGCCTGGGTGGCTCAGTCGGTTAAGCCTCCGATTTCGGCTCAGATTATGATCTCACAGTTGGTGAGTTCGAGCCCCGCTTTGGACTGTGTGCTGACAGCTCAGAGCCCAGAATCTGCTTTGGACTCTGTCTCCCTCTCTCTGCCCCTCCCCCACTCGCACAAGCTCGCTCGCTCGCTCTCAAAAATAAACATTAAAAAAATTTTTTAAAAAGCACCTAACGCATGCTGATACATTAGAAAGGAAAAGATCTTCTACAGCAGCCAGACAAGCCCATGACCCAATGACAGTAAATTAACCGAGTCACAAACCACAATCCCAGGGCGCCTGCACCTTGGAGCGACTGTCACAGAGCTGAAGCCACACCTACCCTGGTCACGGTGTCCTGCACCGCGGGGACCGGCAGTCGCGGCAGGGACGTCTGAAAGCTGTACAACATGGGCTTGCGGCCTGAAAAGACCTTGACCATGCCCTTCAAAACAAAAGGTTGTTTTAAAACGTGAGACCGTGTTATAGATGTGAAACCAGAGCTCAAGCACAGACGACTTGCCGACGATTTGCTGACGGTCTGCGGTGGCCTATACCCCCTCCGGTCTGCGGTCCACCCCTCCGACCCACCCCCACGTGCACAGGGGACCCCAAACAAAACCCAGACTGACGGGAGCCCAGGTGTGACAGAAGCTGCGAGCGCCCCAGCCAGGACCCTTCTCGGGCACCCGGATTCCGCCTTCTGACTGCGCCCCTGCACGGGGCCCTCCGTTCGGGACTGGCTCAAAGCTCTGGCTGCAGTGACAAGGGGCTGAGCTGAGAAGCCTGCGCTCGAACCAACCCCAGCAGCAGCGCAGCCCCCCACCCCCACCGCCAAGCCCAGCGGATGGTGCACATTTGCCTACTGCCCTCTATCTAAACTCGCCGTCATAACTAGTCTCCTCCTGCGGACCAGACCTCCAAGGAGTTTCTAGGGCTCGCAGGGGGGGTGGCTGGGACTCAAGTAGCCGTGACCGGGCACGGGGAATGCCATTTGGCTTTATTCTGTCAAGTGTGGGCAGGTCTCCAACTCTCTTCTGGGTGTTAATCTCTGCTTCTCTGGAAATCAGAAATCTCCCAGCCACGCGGGCGCAGGAAGTCAGTCGGGAGGAGAGCAAAGCCCATGGGTGTGGGGGGGCCTGGGAGCGGGGGTGCCTGTCACAGCAGCCCCCGGGGTGTGGAGCTCAGCCGTCACGGGTGAAATGGGACAAACATCCACTGGCGCTATGGGCCCGGGGGAGCAGACAAAACCCGCCTGCGGTGAAGGGTGGACAAGGGAGACCCGGTCGGACAGGTTGGCGACCGGAGCCACTCAGAAGAGCTTCAAGGCAGTGGACGGGCGTCACGTTGCTTTGATGGATGACCTGATGGCAAGCCTGGCACACGCTAATATGCCACGTTCAGAACTCATGGACTCTGTCTCCGGCCACACTCATGAGTCACAGTGAGCAATGCCCCCGGCAGCAAGGAGAGGCCAACCTCCAGGTCAGCTGGCCAAGCGTGGACGGGGAGGGATCCCACGGGGACGCTCCTTTCAAATACAAGCCGCTTGCACGACGTCAGTGCGGCGAGCCAGCCACGGAAGGACCAGCACCGCGGCGAAGGGGGTGGCGGCTGCCCGGCCGGGGCACTGCCCTCCTGCTGCACTGTGAGCCTAAGCCTTTGCTAAGGGGGTGGATCTCATTCACAGGCTCTCTCCGCCGAGGAAAAACGGGGCGGGGCGCGAGGGGACTGCGGGAGCTGAGGCTGTGGCCCGGCGACTGGTCACAGGTTGCAGTCGCCCGCATCCCTCCAGACACGGGCAGCCGGGCACGCGGCCAGACAGCTACGGCCTGTCGTACACCAAACGTGCCCCGTAAAAGAGCTTAAGAAAAAAACAAAAAAACACCAGGGGCGCCTGGGTGGCCCAGTCGGTTAAGGTCCGACTTCGGCTCAGGTCATGATCTCCCGGTTCGTGGGTTCGAGCCCCGCGTCGGGCTCTGTGCTGCCCGCTCAGAGCCTGGAGCTGCTTCAGAGTCTGTGACTCCCTCTGTCTCTGCCCCTCCCCCGCTCACGCTCTGTCTCGCTCGCTCAAAAATGGACATTAAAAACCACACAAGTCAGGCAACGCGTGCGAAGCGGCCTCAGTTACCATCCAGATCTTGGTGGCGCGGCTTATCCTGCTGTGCTGCGCGAACATCCAGCCGTGGTAGGAGAGCAGCACCTTGAGGGAGTAGCGCATGGTGATGATGAGGGCCACCCACAGCCCCGTGCCGAACAGGAGGCCACTGACCACGTTCTTCGTCTGGCTGGACATGCAGCCGCTGCGGAGGCGACACAAGCCGAGAGAGCGTCACGCGCTGCCGGCCGGGGCGGCCTGCCCTGGACCCGAGACCCTGGACCCCGGACCAAAGGGAAGACACTCGAGGGGGAGCCTGGGAGGCTCTGTCGGTTACGTGTTCCACCTCACGGTCCGCGAGTTTGATCCCCACGTTGGGCTCCGCGCGGACAGCGCGGAGCCTGCTTGGGATTCTCTGTCTCCCTCTCTCTCAGTCCCTCCCCCATTTGTGTGCGCGCTCTCTCTCTCTCTCCCAGAATAAATAAACTTAAATGAATAAAAAAAGAGAGGGGTGACGCTAGATTCACTGTGTGTCGGCCCAACTCTCAAAAGGCTCCGGCGTCCTTCTCCCGTCCGCTGTGCTGGGTCTCAAGAGAAACCGAGGCCACTGCGCTCTCGGGGAAAACTCACGATGCCCGCCAGGGTCTGGGGACAGTGACGGGCACGTGCGAGGCGGTGGCCTGCCCACGATGAAACCCACGCCCCACGTCCACCTGCACCTCGCCATTAGCTGTAAGATGCTGAGATCATTTGGGAAAACCATTACTTTAACTGTCGAGATCAAAAGAGCTCGTTTTGGACGTAGGCAGGAGTACTTACCATGAAAGAACCAAGTAAACTGATCGTGCAAAGTGATCATTTAAATTTTTGCTTTTTATGGGTTTTTTTTTAATTTATTTCTGAGAGAGAGAGAGAGAGCGCGCACAAGCAGGGCAGGGACAGAGAGAGGAGACAGACAGACAGAAGCAGGCTCCAGGCCGAGCTGTCAGCACAGAGCCCGACATGGGGCTCAAACTCACAAACTGAGATCATGACCTGAGCTGAAGGTGGATGCTTAACCGACTGAGCCACCCAGGCGCCCCGCATTTAAATAATAAACCTAAAGAAAGGAAACGTTTTTGTTTGCTAGGGAAAGGGATCTTTCGGTAAAGGGATCTAACGGTAAAGATGAGACTTTAAAAATGAGTAGAAATGTAACTATTTCTACATCTTTGTGGCATTCAGTTTTAGTTGCTTCTCAAAAACCACAACCTAGTTATAAAATAAAAAGGATTTAAATAACAAACACTGGGGCGCTGGGGTAGCTCAGTTGGTTAAGAGTCCTACCCTCGATTTCGCAGAGATCAAGCCTCGCATCGGGCTCTGCGCTGCCGGCGCGGAGCCTGCTTGGGATTCTCTCTCCCTCCCTATCTCTCTGCCCTTCCCCGGCTCGCGCTTTCTCTCTTGCTCTCAAAGTAAATAAATGACAGATGTTGGCAAGGACTCAGAAAAAGGGGAAGCCTTGTGTCCTGGTGCCGTAGCCACCGTGGAAAACAGCATGGAGCTTCTTCAAAAACACTACAAACAGCTACCATATGATCCAGCAATTCTAGCTCAAGTGTTTATCGGAAGGGAACAAAGTCACTATCTTGAAAGGACATCTGCATCCCCACGTTCACTTCGGCATTATCTACAACCGGCGGAGCGTCCACCAGCAGGTGAATGGCTGCAGAGGTGGGGTACAAGCAGAACGGAAGATTGTGCTGGAAGACCCTGCCGGCTGTGACAGCCACGGACCCAGAGGGCACGATGCCACGGAAATGAGTCAGACAAAGGAAGACAAATACCATTTGATCTCACTTACGTGTGGAATACAAATAAATAAATAAGTAAGTAAACATATAAATCCAAACCGCAGACACAGACAACAGACAGTAGTTGCCAGAGGCAGGGGATGTGGGCGAAACGGGGGAAAGTGTTAAAACGTACAAACTTCTGGCTACGAGACAAGGAAGTCCCAGGGAGCGTGCTGACTAGAGTTAAGAATACACACTGTAGATTTAAATACTGCTGGGAGGGACCTGGGGTCTCAACGGGTTGGGCGCCCGACTTCGGCTCAGGTCATGATCTCACCGCTCGTGGGTTCGAGCCTCATGTCGGGCTCTGTGCTGACAGCTCAGAGCCTGGAGCTGCTTCCGATTCTGTGTCTCCCTCTCTCTCCGCACCTCCCCCACTCACACTCTGTCTCTCTCTCAAAAATAAATAAACATTTAAAAAAAAAAAATCTTCCGAGACTCCCAGGGCCGGACAAACGCAGAGCAAACCCCACACAGCCATCTGTGCTTGTGAAAACAGCCACCCAGGACCGTCGGAGATGCTCTCCAGGAAGATGGTTCCAGAATGCTCCTCAAGCCTGGGAGACGCTGGCCCTTAACCTGGTCTTTCCAAATCTGGGCCAGGGACGGCCCAGTTCACCGCAATTGGTTTAGAGGGAACAAAGAAACAAATCATATAAAGATCCAGATTATGAAGGGCTTTAAATAGCCAACACTCCTAAATATAATCCAGCGTTAAGAGACCACACCAGAGAGTAAATTTAAAATCTGTGTTAAGCTCCCAGCAGCCTGAAAAGTCTGTAGAAATAGCAGGACTTGGCAGGGCTTGGGGGGGGGGGGGGTGCGGTGCGCTGGCTGCAGGGGTCCGGCCTAGCACGCTTCTCCTGAAATGCCGGCATTTTTCTTCTAGGCTCTGCAGACGCTTATAAAGGCACCAGCCGGCATTCATGAGGTCGCTTTGAGGCCATGAGCGACTCGGCTGGACTCTGGGCTTTGAATATAAGGGTTCAGGAGCAAGGGGCGCCTGCTCAAGGCAAAACAAGACCATGCTTTTAAATTACAACCACGGAAGTACTGCTTCAGGGTGATCGCAATCCAATTCAGTCCCGAGCTGGGGGGGTGTTCCCTCGAGTCACACCTGCCGGTCTATTCTTTCTGTAGGACTGAGATGAAATCCAAACAGCCAGCAAGGGGCCGCTTTATCAAACGGCCCTGCGTTCATCTGCTCGGCTCAGGCCGGCCCCCCCACTACAGAGATGGCCCGGGAAACGCGAGGACACCCTGGGCGGCCCTCTCCTCCGTCACAGCGGTTCCCACCGTCCACACGCACCCTCTGGCTCGAGAAACAAAGCCCAGCAATGGAACAAGGACTTTGGGGCCCGTTATTTCTCTAGTAAGAGACCCAAAAGGTTTGTCGGTGTAAACAAGCAAGAGAGAAATAGGATTGGAGGTCTGGTACGGAACAGCCACGGCAGCATCGGACGTACGGGAGCCTCTCCAACCTGAAAACAGGGGCGCCCGGGGGGCTCAGTCAGTTGAGCAACTGACTTCAGCTCAGGTCATGAGGTTCAAGTCTAGCGTCGGGCTCTGTGCTGGCAGCCAGCTCAGAGCCTGGAGCCTGCTTCGGATTCTGTGTCTCCCTCTTTCTCTGTCCCTCCCTCTCTCTCTCTATTAAAAAAATTTTTTAATAAAAAAAAATCACTAACAAAAATCGCTAACTTCCTAGAGGATTTGAGATCCGAAATGGGTACTTACGTAGTGTCAAGGGTCCGATTGATTTTCGCGATGATTCCCAGCGAGGGGTCGATCTTGGCGTACATGGTTGACATCACGCCCACCACCACGATGAGCCAACTGGAGGGGCTTGCCGGGTACACGCCAGTGATGATTCCATTCTAGAAACAGAGCATGCTCCGTGAGCAGGTCCCGCCCACAAAATCCACGGCCCCTGGTAGCGAGGGGAGTGGGATGACGGGCAGTGGGAAGGAGGCGTTTGCAGCATGTGGCGGCTACGTGACCACCCTGTCACTACTGGAAATCTTCCCCAGAGCCTCCAGCCCCTTCGCTCCCTCTGCTTCTGAACCAAATCCCTCCCTGGATCAGATTCCCTGAATGTGACGCCAGGAAATTAGAATCACCCCGAGGCACCAGGTCAACATTGATTCCGCGATTTCCACCCAGGCTGGCTCTTGACACCCGCGAGGTAAGGATGTCACTGAGCCGACACCACTCCTGCTGCTCCTGAATCAAGGGGCTGCTCAACCCTCAAGTATTTCCAAGACACCTCACTCCATGTTGCGAGTTTGCTGAACGATCCTTCAGCCAACTCCCCGCCCCCCCCCGCCCACTACCATTAAAAGTATCAAAAAAAACAGAAAAAGCAGCAGGGGGGGGGAAGGCAGATAGCAACAAAATTTTGGAAACCAGATAAGCAATGTGGCTCCTCATTCTCTTTATTTTTGTGTTTGTTCCAAAACTTCTAATTAAAAACAAAAGTCTCACGAAGCCATCTTAATCAGAGATTACTCTGACCAAGACAATGGATTTAAAAACTCTCAAAGCCTGGGGCGCCTGGGTGGCTTAGTCGGTTAAGCGTCCGACTTTCGCTTAGGTCATGATCTCACGTTCGTGGGTTCGAGCCCCGCGTCGGGCTCTGTGCTGACTGCCAGCTCAGAGCCTGGAGCCTGTTTCAGTCTGTGACTCCCTCTCTCTCTGACCCTCCCCTGCTCACGCTGCCTCTCTCTCTCCTAGAAATAATAAATTAAAACAAAAAACTCTCAAAGCCTTCCTGAATTCTTTTACAAGAGACCCCACATCCTCCATGCTGGTCCCACCGGATTCCCCACTGCCGACAGGTGGAGGGAAAGAGATTTTAAACAGAGTGGGGGTCCTTTTGGTGTTCTCTGAAATAAGTGTTTTTAAGGCAAATAAATGCATATATTACATTACAAGACAATGGGAGGCGGGGGGCACCTGAGTGGCTCAGTCAGTTAAACATCCAACTTCGGCTCCTGGCCTGGATCTCAGTTCGTGAGTTTGAGCCCCGAGTCAGGCTTGTTGCTGACAGCGTGGAGCCGGCTTTGGATCCTCCCTCTGTCCCTTCCCCACTGTACTCTCTCTCAAAAATAAATTTTAAAAAATTTGGCTTTTATTTATTTCTGAGAGAGAGAGAGACAGTGTGAGCAGGGGAGGGTCAGAGAGAGAGAGAGGGAGAGAGAGAGAGCGTGAGCAGGGGAAGGTCAGAGAGAGAGGGAGGTACAGAATCTGAATCAGGCTCCGGGCTCTGACCTGTCAGCACAGAGCCTGACGCGGGGCTCGAACCCACGAACCGTGAGATCATGACCTGAGCCAACGTCGGACGCTTAACTGAGCCACCCAGGCGCTCCGTAAAAAAAATTTTTTAACAAATAAATAAAATAGAGGCAGGAAGGGTCTAGATGGAAGGTCTCCCGCTCACCCACCCTCCCCTGCCGCGCCTCTTGCTCGGAGCCGCATGCTCCTGGGACAGGCCCCTCGGTCGGGCTCGGCTGCGCACTGTTCAAACTCCGTATCTGCTGGTCTTGCCCCTCAGCTGCGCTGCCAGGTCTCTGAGACCAGAGCACACGTGCACTCGGCCGCAGAGACCGGTGGCCACAGCTCTGCCCCAGCTTTCTCTTCTCTTGGATTTGAGGGTAAAGAAGGGGCTGCTCTGGGCAAGGTCGGGCGCCAAAGCGCGCTGTCCCCTCTAGGCGGCGCCCTCTTCTGCCGCGGTGTCACCCGGGCTGGTGTGTGACCTGGAGCCCCCTGGCTGTGCCCCAGGCACCTGTCCAGCAAGGCTGGTTCTCCGGGGCCCACCCACCTTCTCTGAGGTCACCGCTCTCACCTACTTGGGTTCTGGCCCTTTCTCAACAGGCCTGCGCTGAGCCTCACCCTCCGAAAAGGAAACTGGAAAATCAATACAGTTACCCATTTCCTTCATTCCTGCTGGGAGGGGAACCTGACGAATCTGCCTCCCGTCTGAATGAATTTTTTCCAAACGTGCGTTTTATTCCTTCTGTGATTTTCAAAACCAACTGAATTTACAAGCGAAAGGAAAACAAGGTTTGTGGTTAACTAAAAACGGTGAATACATTTCCACTTTTTCAGGTAAACAGGATTGAGAGCATTTGAAGTTAGCTATATTTGACTTTCCGGGCGCCTATTTCAATGTTTGGTTAACTTTTTTATTACTTATTTATTAATTTATTTATTTAAATTTTTAATGTTTATTTATTATAGAGACAGAGAGAAACAGAGCACGAGTGGGAGAGGGGCAGAGAGAGGAAGACACAGAATCCGAAGCAGGCTCCAGGCTCCGAGCTGTCAGCACGGGGCCCAGTGTAGGGCTCGAACTCCCGAGCCGTGAGATCAGGACCTGAGCCCAAGTTGAACGCTCAACCGACTAAGCCACCCAAGCGCCCCAATGTTTGGCTAATTTTATCAGCATGTTTGGCTAATTTTATCAGCGAGGTACCAGTTAGATAAATTCATTGCAATTCATGCAGCTGGGAAACAATCCTTCTTCTACAAGGTGTAAAGGGTTCTGGACTCCAAGCCGGAGACACGGATGAGAGTCTTTCCTCTGCTTCTCCGAGCAGGTCACTTACCTTCTCTGAGCCGCAGCTCACCCGCCCAATCCCCCTGCCCGCCTTCCAGAACATTCGGGAAGCCGGTGAGAGTGTCTCACAAGGCTGATTTTCACAAGAAAAATCAGTTACGTGCCAATCACCGCCCGACACGCTTCCGCCTCAACGGCACCCGGAGGCATTTTCTCTAATACGAACATGGGCGGCGTGCAGATCTAAACAGGTATCAGCTAACCTTGAATCTGATGAACTTCTTTTTCCAGGAGTGAAGTCCAGACAGGTAGATCTGCTTGAGGGCCTCGTGGCTCAGCCGCAGGTCGATCCCATCTGGGGTGACCGTGAACTGGAAGGCCACGGCTTGGTGGGCTTCTGCCATCTTCGGTGTTGCCCTAGGAAGAGGGGAGAGTGTCACCGGCCAGCATCCCACCAGGTGTAAGAAACCCCTTCCACAGCCCTGTGGCTCGTTCCCTAGCCACCTAACAACACACTTAATATTCCATTAAGAGATCCAATTCTGGGATTCCCGGCCGACCCCTCCCCTGCCTGTCGGCACTAGACACTCGACCTACCTCTACTCAGAGGCTGGGGTGGGGGTGGGGTGGGGGGGCCCCTCCCACCCGGAACCCCCCACCCCTGGCCCCCACCTGGGGCCGTCCCATGGAACCGTCCCTCCAGGCCAGCAGCCCAGGCCACACCTGCTGACTCAGGAAGCCAGTGGCTCTTCACCACCCTGCCCATCTCATTCCCGCCCCCGCCCCGCCGCCCGGGGCTGGCACAGAGGAAACCCAGAGGGTCCACAAAGGAGTCCGGGATGGCCCTGAACCCCCGATCTTCAGGCAGGGGAACCGGGACTCCAGTGTGCGTGTGGCTGCCGCCTCGAGGGACTGCCTCGGCCGCCACAAGACTCCGTGAAATCCAGGCACACGGCGTCCTCAGGTGGTGGTGTCTGTGCGTGTCCGGAGCCAGGCCCTCCTCCTCGTGGCTGAAACCAACCTGGGTGCACAACCCAAGGGCTGAACAGTGACGAGGGGGTCATTTACCCTCCCACGAGCAGGCTCCCCTGAACCCACAAATAAAAGCATGTTTCCTGTCAATGGCTTTGGGCCGGGTCTCTTCGGCGCCCTTCCTCCCGGCCCGTCTTCTTCCTCGGGCACTCCTCCGCCCCCCCCCCCACCCCCCCCCCCCCCCCCCCCCCCCCCGCCGGCCTCCCTCCCGCACAGCTGGCCCCTCGGCCACCTTCTCTTCCGACCCTCCACCGTCTCTGCCCGAGCGCCCCGTGGGAAAAGGGCAGCTCACGGAGGGAGGGGAAAGCCACCGAGAATCGTAACAAAATCCCAAAACTGAGCCTTCTCATCACAAACGATTCCTCCCACTTTCCCTGTTTAAGCCTACAGAGCACGGGCGCAGGACCCACCGGTCGTCAGCAACAGGTAACGCGCTGAGATGCCCCGTTACGAAAGCCCAGACCAGCCTAGTCCTCAGCTAATTGGAACAGATGGCCCGAGTAGAGGCCCCAAAAGGCACGCAGCTTTCATGCATTTGCTCCTTCAGCAAGAGTTTGTTGACTGCCTCCTATGCACCAGCCACGGGGAGAATCAAGGCCTTGGCAGAAAGGACCCCCGCAAAGCCCCCCCAACAGCTCGGACAGGGAAGCCAAAGGAAGAGGGGGTGCCGGAGGGGACCTCCCAGGTGACACGGGAAGCCCAGGAGAAGATCGGCCTGAGGGCAAGCCTTTCAAGCCTAAAGGTGAAACAAGACTCTAGGTAGAGGTCAAGGGCCAGTCAAGAGCAGGCAGCTAACCTGGGAGAGGAATGCCCAAGGCAGCCGTGGAAGAGAGATGCGTTTTATGCTAAGAAAAAAAGAAAAGCACCTAACGGTTTTAAGTTACAGTTTGTGTTTCAAGAAGTCCAGTCTGGAGGCTGAAACGACTGTGGCCGGGCAGGGAAGCGTGGCCAGAGGGAAGGGCAAGCCGTCTTCCAGGAGGCAGCGACCAGCAGAAGGACCGACTCCAGAAAGTCTTCAGAGGCCTCCCTGGGGCCTCTGGCCCATCCGCTCTCGGGAGCCACTCACTGACACAGAAGAGTCCCCATGCAGGCAGGACAGGTAGGGACGGGTGTGTGGGGATGTCACTGGGGAGCATCCAGGTGGGATGCCGGGCACAGAGGGACGGGCTCGGACAGGCACACCTGGGAAGTGACAACACGCTGCACCTGAGACTCCGCTTTGGTAATGATGAAAGAGCAAGTGGGCTAAACTGCATCCCACATGCAAGCTCCCGAGCTTAGTGCGGTCTGCAAAGGGTTCAAGGTTACTGACGTGTTATCTCACAGGCACGGAGCCAGCGTCCCTCCCCTGGCCAGCTGTGAAGACACAGACCCCATGCCCGCAAGCAGCGAGCTCCCCAAGCAAATGTCCTGCTGCAGGTAATTCAGGATGTGGAAGGGGGCATCCAAGCCGCTCTGAATCCTTTCCTCAAAAAGCTATCCGAGTGTCTCTAGGATTCTCCAGGGCTTCACGGTTAACCCTGAGCCCCTCCCCACGAAGATTTCAGGCTCCGTGTGTGGCAGGAGACAGGCGTTACCGAGACAATTCTGCAGAGCGTGAAGCATGGCCACAAGGTTACCCTCTCGATGGTTTATAAGATCATTTGAGGACTTTAACCAGACCTGCTGGATTATTAATGCAGATGGAACATAAACACAGTGTCTGTAGATCATTCTATCCAAAGGTACGGGTCCGGTGTTTGCTCGGGGATCCAACCTCCGCCCGGGGGAGGCAAGTGAGATAGGGGGCATGTGGGTCTCCTTCCAGGACTCGATGGCCTTTTCAGGACACTGGATTTTACTAAGGATTTGCTGGTTTTGATTGCTTCGAACTAAAAAACCAAATGTAAGAGTCCAAAAGGCACCCCAAAATGGACAAATCTGTCTTCCTAGCTTTGCAGTCGCCCAGAGAGAGGCTGCCCTGAGCCCAACTCCCTCTTCGAGCCACAGCAGTAGTTAGTGGACCTAGTGAACCGGACGACACAGGTTTGAACACTGAAAAGGTCTCCGTGCAAATCTAGTAAGCGAGCATTCCACCAATCCTGGCATCCACAGCCTCATGTTTAAAAACACTTACACGGGGCGCCTGTGTGACTCAGTCGGTTGAGTGTCTGACTTCGGCTCAGGTCACGATCTCATGGTTCATGAGTTCGAACCTCGCATCGGGCTCTGTGCCGTCAGAGCACAGAATCTGCTTTGGATCCTCTCTGGCCCTCTCGCACGCTCTCTCTCTCTAGCCTAGAGCTGGGGGCAGATGGCGGACTGAGTGGGGTAGATGGCTAAGGGGAGGAAGGCTTCTTTCCTGAGTGTTGAAAACGTTTCAATGTTAACTGCGCTAATGATTGCACATATCTGTGAATGGACTCACAAGCTGTTGGAGTGTTCACTTTTGATGGGTGTGTGGACTGCGTGGTAAGTTAAACCACAATAAAGCTGTTCTTAAAAAAAAAAAACAAACAACACTGCCTCATGAGATTGAAGTGTTATCTATTCAACGTTTATGCCCCTAAACCTTCTCTCCTCAAATCCAGAATTCCAGTGTCCCACTCACGAAGAACTCAGCTCCTTCCAATAACTATCAGCTCGCGGCATCTGGGAACTGCCGTTAAATATTTTTAGGTATCGAATGATATCGTTATTTTAAAGAGCTGCTATGCTTTCGCGATGAACTATTGCTAAACTTCAGTATAAATATGCTGAAATATTTATCAGTACAAGTTCGTCTGGGTCTGCTTCAAAATCCCTGGGCGTGAAGGGCGTGGACGGACAGAGTTATGAACCGGCCACGTGCGGGAACTGAGATCAGGCAGTGGCCATATGGGGGTGTGTTATGCTGGTCTCTTTTCTCCATTCGTTACTGAAAATACTTTTAATGAACTAAAACACCTGTCTACACGGCTCAGCGCTACCTCTCACCCTCGGAGACCAACCTTCAAAGCTCCCTTGACCCTTCGAGGGGTCGTCAGCGCCCGCCTTCTGGGCACATCTCACCATTGGCCACGTGAGCCAGAAGCCGGGACCAGCAGAGCCACGGCCAGGCCCCACAACCCATGCCCACAGTCAAAGTCAAGTCAGGAGGGGCCCGTTTACAGGGTTTCTGCCTGCCCACAAGCCGGCCCGTGCATTACACGGGAATATGCTCCACCCACCCAACCATATCTGGACGAGGGAGGGAGGCTGCCTGTCGAATCACTGCACTCCGGACCTGCTACGCCCTGTGCACACCCTCACCTCTCACCCAGGTGGGTGTGGGCAAAGCCTGAGACCTGCCCTGCCTGCCTCACCTCCAGGTCTCCCCCAGAAGAAGGGACACAAGACCTGAGGAAGACACGGCTCCCACGGCTTCCCAAAGGCTGACGGCGCCCGAGCCCAGGGGAGCAGAGAGAGACCGCCGCCCCGGGTGGAAGGAGGCGAGCCATGAATCAATGCAGGGACCATCAGGAATTCTTCTTCTTATTATTAGGAGGACCCCAAAAGAGCCCCGGTGAGACGCTGTGAACACAGGCATGCACAGAACAATACCTGTGAGCCCCCTTCCTGGAATGTTAGTCTTCTGCCACGTGGACTTGACCCTGCCGGGTCGCCCGCTCTCCACTCCTGGGTCAGCCTCTGCGGAGTCCTTGCCCTGTCAACTCTCCGCGCAGCCGGGAACCCTCCACCCTGTAAGAGGAGGGGCCCCGGGCCAGCTGGCAGCCCAGGCCTGCGGCTGGATCCCGGCCACCTGACTGGACAGCTCTTCTCTGTAACCCTTCAACCTTCCAGGATGGCGGGGAAGGGCCGCAGCACAGAGGGGCCGCCAGGGCCTGGTGAGCGGGCAGCACCACCCCCTCCCCGCCTCCCGGGGCTGTCGGGGGGCTCTGATATGTCCCACATAGGCTGGAGAGCCCTCGCTCACCCTCACCCCTGCGCTGGGGACAAGCACCAGCTCCTGCTGATTTGGAAAGGTGCGCTGTCCCTTCCCCCACCCCATACCATCCCCACCTGAGCACCTATCTACCTGGTTGGAGAGGGGACCTCCCCGGGGACAGAGCTCTCGAGCGTGACCCCCGGGGTCCACCTGCTGCCAGGACGGCCCCTGTGGCCCGAGGTCTCAGCCAGCTGGGGAAAGGAGTACAGTACAGGCAAGAAAAGCAAGAAAGTCAAGAGGGGGAGGGGCAGGGAGACAGGCTGCAAAGAAAAGAAAAGGCAGATGGATGAAAAGTGAGCATTACTCCCCTTTCTGTCATTCATCTGTTCTCTCAGATCATCACTGAGCAACTACCAGAGGCCTGCGGACAAGAAATCTGGAGGCGCCTGGGTGGCCCAGTCGGTTAAGCAAACGACCGGCTCAGGT